CATGCCACATCTTCGTTCAAGTTGTTGGTTGGCTGGCTGAGTCTTGTTGGTCGAGATAGAATCCTTGCTACAGTACTACTTACGTACAAACTCAAACATAGTTTGTCTAATGATTGGTGAGACTAATGAGATACAATTAGTCTCATCTTCTATCGAAATATTTCAGTCTACTATCTCAAACTTTCTGCGAAAATCTTGCAAATCTATAGTCCTCCACGCTGCACAGTCTGCCACACCACGAGCCCAAGTCGGACTCGATGTGCCTCAGATTCTCCTTGTCCTGTCAGGGTGATGGATGTTATAATAATGCTTACAGGGAGCACTAATGGCTAACTTTGACGTAGCAATTTCCCACTCATTGATTCATTGTTGGGAGGGATGTGCATATCCATTTTGTTCATTTACATACATATATCTTATCTATTATTATCGTATGTATGTACATATGTGGGTTATGAAACAATAGCCAAGACCGAAATTCGTAGTTTCGAAGGAAGGGAGAAGAAATTATTTTTATTGTTGCGTATAATTTAGCAAGCACTATAAGTTGTACTACTTAATTTCGAGTTTGATTTTGGCTAAGTAGTTTGGAAATTAGTAAATTTGTGAGCATATTTACTGTTCTAGAGTAGAATTTAATGGCGTGCCGCGAGATTGGGAGGGGAAAAGTAAACATTTGGGTTTGTAATCAAATCAATCCTTTCTCCTTCCAAATTTCCTCTTTAGCATCTCCACGATGAGGTAGTTCACCCCAGTTTATTACCCCGAGGTGCACTTTCCTCCAAAACACGCCTTGAATATAAAAAGGAAGCCAGACATCTTGTAGGTTTTTGAGCTTAGTGGGTACAGCATCCGTAATTAAGAAATATGAGTTGCTTTCTCTTCCCCATCTTTGCAGATGAATGTTGAAATTAAGTTAAAGTGTTGTAGGGCAGACATGCACAAGTGGCAAATTTGACGTTGGGAAATGGAAAAATAAAATATGGTCCCAGTTGGTGGAATTTCAAACTCACCATGAATTAGTGACAAAACTCAACTATACTGTTTTCCTCACCCAACTCGTATTTTAAAATGTCGCGTATAATGGGAGTCCTATTCATTCATATAACTGCATTCCTCCAATGTTCTACATTGTTACAGTTGACTTACACGTTATACTAATTCTAATTCTGTTGATAGATAGCGAGGTCTGGTTGTTCTTCATTCATTTGAACACAATTTTACAGCTCAAGGGAAAGCGGAGTATAAATGAGCTCGATTTTCAAGCCATTACAACTAATCGGCTGAAAAATTGTATTTCATTCGTCGACTCACTTGATAAGCCGGCATTAGACAGCTTTCTTCTTTCTTATCGGTTGACTTATTTGTCTAAACGTTAAGTGTAATTTATGTCTTTCTTGCCATGTTCTGCTGAAAGCTAGAATTGGATGGTGAGTATTCCAATTTTTAAACATGCAACCCAGTCTGGTCGGGAAAGCCTGGACATTTTTACAATCAAAGGGAAGTTGGAGTCCTAACTTTGTCTTGTAATTTGATTCATATAGCACAAAGTCGTTTATTATCTATGGATTTTCTTACATGTGTATTCTTTCGTGTTTGTTATGTACATTTGCAGTTATGGTTTTTAAGCAGATGTAAACACAACTGAAACTTTGCTAATTTTTTGTATTGATTGCAAAATACACTCAATTTAATTAAGATTGTGTAGAAATTATTACCATGTACATGTAGGTATTTCTGTTCATTCAGCGACAAGAGCTCCAAAGGTCGAGGAACTTATTTATTGTTATATTTATGTATTTATAAACGCAAAGTAGTTCAGCCAAAACAAACCAAATCTTGTTCGTCGTAGGCGTGTTATGGTCAGTCTAGCTGTAGAGAAAGTGAATGAGAGGAGACTTGGACTACAATAACACATCATTCCAATGACCCAAAGCCAGTGAAAGTGGAGAAATTGGAAGAGAACTTAAGAGCAGACTGGATTGAACCATTTTGTTCAGTTATTTTTCCAAAATGTTGGAAATATCTTAGACTGGAAGGCTTCATGCAGTAAGGGACGTGGTGGTAGTTAGTCGTATAAAACGATTCTCGTGAGCAGAATTTTAATGAGATTGATTTTTTCTCCGGATTGGTCTAGTTGGTCGAGGGATTTGGTAACGTTATGTTTCGATAAGATAGCCGGATAGGACACATCCAATGAGCTCTGCTACAATATCCGTACGTACATATACGCGTAGTGGATATTGTAACTACATACGCGAACGTATCTTCTTGGGTGTATCTGTAGTTTTTTCGATCAAGTGGCGGTGAAGAGCAGAGGACTTGGTTCGTCGTCCTGCCTTTCCCAGTGTCCTCGTGGGAATTATTCGACAGTCTAAATTTTGTAGAGTGAGCGTGCCTGGAGGGTGAGAAAAGTCGGAGAAAAATCGAGTTAATGCGGGAGGCAGTGCATCAAGCGAGACGAATTTTTGGATCCTGATGAAATCGATTATCCAAGATATCCTTCTTCATGTATAAGTAAATTCAATTAGTGAAACAATATCACCTACAAATTTATTCAATGCAGTAATTGGGCAAGATTGTTAGTGATACATATAAAATCCTAGAGTGTCAGTTACTTGGTACACGGCGCAGCGAGGGGATTCTCCACAAACAAAATGAATTTAGAATTTCCTTTGTGACCCAAACATGCAACATCACCACTACGGAGCCAAGTGGAGGTGGTTTACATAATGTGCATACGAACGAAATGTATATATCTATAAGTTGCCGGTAGAAAGTAGAAACTGGAACGCGTTGACTTTGTTCAAGTACTTCGGATGAACAGGAGAAAGGCGGATCCATTCTGATTTTATTTCTGCGAAACTTATCCCACGTTTAACGAGCAGTCCTGCTATTCCACTAAACCAACAAAGGAACAGTCCTTTGCACTTTGCATACACAATATACACTATAATTGGTTTTAGTTTTAGCTGATGCTCAAGTGGAAAGTTGTTGGCTCTTGCCTGCCTCCTGCTATTTGTTCTCCTGCTCGTTTCTGAGTACACAAATGTACAAAGATAAAAGTAAATTCTTAGCATGCAGAGGCAGCAGCAGCAGCAGCAGCAGCAGCGGTGGTGGTGGTGGTGGTGGAGATGGTGGTGTAACAGGGCATGGAAAAAGAGAGAGAAAGCGAGGGAGGCAGTAAAGGAGAGACTTAACCTACTTTCACACTCATCCTTTCTCCTGCCTGCCATCATCATCCTGCTGCCACCCGCTCTCTGCCTACGCCAGCCCAGCTTTCTCCCCTGCGTCTTACCCAACGCCTTTCAATAATGAGATGGAGACGACTCAGATTAATACAATGGAATTAAACATTTGTCGTCACATTACTAAATAAGTAACTCGTCCCGCGTTCTTTTACTTTTGCGGCTTCTTCCTCGAGCCCTCGTTTCTTTAGAAAAGGAAATTAGGGAAAGTAATGGCAGACGTGGGGTGGTTTTACGTTCTCCTTATTGGTGTAACCCATAGAGTATTTTTTGCAGTGAAAATTTACAATTCTTGGAAGTACGCACAACCATTCCAATTATTCAGTAGTATATCATCCATTTGGCCATCCAGTTTATTTAAAAATTCCAATCTGCGTTACAATCCAACTTTGCGTCTAAAATTCCATCAGTGTTTGGCTCCTTTAACTAGTGCAAGTATGTGTACTGAAATTTTCACCCGTCACACTTTCCATGACTCTGACGCGTAGTGATCAGCATCATTGGACGAAGGGGCAATTGGGAACCTCATTTTACAGCCTTCTCAGCATGTGGCACTTTGTCTCTAGCACGAGCATCATAATGTTAAACATAAGATAAATCTGAATTCGAACATTCGTGGTGGTGGTTTGGTTTGTGCATCTGGGTTTAGAATTGAATTATGAGTTGGTCGTTTTTGGGCATTATGACCCCAAACTTGGTCAGACTGCTGACTCCCTAGAAACGAAGGAGCTACGAAACCTGCAAACTTGCCAAAGGGAATGTGGGTTGGTGGGTGGGTGGGTGTGGGTGGGTAGACAGAAGAACGGCCACCGCTGCTAATGGCTGTTATAAAGATGTAGACCAGCGGTACAATCAAAAGATGAGATATCATCAGGAGTAGAAACATAAACATCCAAGTGCGTGGCTAATGTTGGCAAATGGTAACACACATAAATTTCCAGTTTCACATATCATAGCAAAGGAAAATACTCGGATTTAGAAAGAAATCAATGTTCAATGCGATGCGATGGCACGTTACATGAATGAAGCAATTTGCCTCTGCTCGAGTCTGGGTTGTATAACTTACAGCCTGTCTGTTGTGAGATGTTTTATAGTCAGAGTCACAACTGGAAAAGTGAATGAGCACGATGTTGAAGTTGGATATCAAAAGCGGAGAAATTTGTTTTTAACCCATATCTGCAACCAACCAACACAACCTCGGGTGCTCTGAAACCACAATTTGACTGTAGCTTGTCTTGTTCGCTTTTATTGGCTTTCATGCTTGTTTGCTGCTGAAAGACTTATGAATCTCTGCTTTCGCTCAGAGATGGAATGATTCTCTCGCTAGGATCTTCCTTATTCGGCTGTAATTGCAATTTTATGATGCACGGGTGAATTGGAATGGAAAATATAGGAGGAATAAAAACTTACGTGGTTTGACTTCACTCTCGTCCGTCCCACACTCATCATCATCCCAACAGAATTGCACCCGGGTAGAGTTGTGGTAGGAAAGTGAAATGCTTCTTCAGCATTCACGAGTCATTCATTCTTTACCCGTCCCCGGATCCCGTTCCAGTTTTTGGAAATAGATGCAAATACCTGCCTGACAGAAAGGATGATAAAATATGAAAGTATAAGCCCTGTAACATGAGCATAGATAGTAATGCATCGAATAGACTATTCTGATTTAAAATTTTAAGTGTACACTTGCACCCAAATTCAAAATGAATAAATTGTGAAAAAATTAATGTTTAATTTGTTTTTGGTTTTCAGATATGATGGAGGCCTACCAAATGTGGGGAAAGCAAGGCGGGCCAACTAATTCGCTATTTGGTCGATGAATCCATCCACGGCCGTCGGCAATGGTTCTCTGGAAAGGTCGACTTTTACCTCTCCTTTTCCCTCTTCGGAAAAATGGTCGCCTACGACTAATGCTGAATCCAGTCCTCGTAGCGGTAGTTCTGCTCTGCAGTCTTGAAGGTAACATCCAGCTTCGTGAAGCGATAGCGCGCTACTTTAAACAAAAAAAGACATTATCAAAATTCCGATACACAGCCAACAAGCGACATGTACATATACATACAGGGATACTTACATATACGGATATATTCACGTATATGACACACATTCCACATGGTACCAGACATTCATGCACCTGGCACACCACTCATAATTCAGCGATAAAATATTTGGAATTGGATTGGAATTCGGAGCCTGTTTTAAGTGGAACACTTATAAGAAGCATTATACCCTTGTGCAGCTTAACCCGTCAATTTCTGATGGCCTATATATACCTTGGCTTTAGAGAAAACATCTATAAATCATAACGTTATTTCAGGAAACGCCTTTAGTTTAGTAGTAAAAGCAATAAATTACAATCGCACAGGAGATTCTGGAGTACACACAGGCAGCCGTACTTTTGTCCTATGGACAATTGAATTCGACCAATTTTTTGCAATAATGACCTCAGTCTTTTGCAGCAGAAGCAGAGCAAAACCAACCACAATTCGAAATCAGCAGTTCCCTTCCCACGGGTCATTGCTTAACAATACGGATTGCTAACTCGTTGATCACACTTCTTCTTCCAGACGTTTCGTACTTTTGCTTGTGTATTGATTCTAGGAGAAGACTCGTGTGCTTGACGTTCGTACGCGTTGAATGGACATTAATCATCAATTATATGACCTCAAAACATGATTCAAGTCCAGTATAATCTTGCTCTTGCAGTTGGACGATAACCTGACATTTGAGTTTGACATTGGTCAAAAAATAATTTGTAGACATTAAAAGGATAAGAAAATTTTTCCGAAGCATGTTGCTTATAACTAATGTGTGCTTTTTGATCATGAACACATTGCGACAAATACCACAAACTAGGTTCTATACTCACTTTAAGCATTATTCCTGCTTTTAAAATGGTATGTTGCCGTTGTTGCTTTGATAGTCGAAATAGCTGAATGAAAAGGATTTATTTGAAGCTTGCATGACGAAGATCGGTTTCGATATACATTTCATAGTTTTATTTATTCAACTAACTAAGGTCCACTGCATTGTGGAGTTTCAAGTTTATTTTTACGCTGTAATATGTATCAAACTACAAATCCTAGGTTGTGAGTTACTTGATTGCTGTTGTGCAGTCGAACTTGGAACTATATTATCACGAATTTTATTATCAGAGTACATGCAATCGTGTGAATTGATGGTATTATCCACTTGTGCCGAGCTGATGAAGTAAGGTAGGTCGCATTGGGTGAGAATATGTACATAGGTATGTATGCTGACCAAGACGTACGTATGTACATAATCAGAACGACACACAATTTTTCCAGTACAATATTACATTTGATCCGACTTAGGTATTGGTTAGTTTACAATATTATATTGGTTACTGACGTCAATGGTAGATTACTTCCTTTGTGAAAATCTCGCCAAAAACTGGAAATTGTTTACTTTTTACGAGTTTGTTACCTTTCAATTAACCGATGCGAGTTGACATCGTTTGCGCCTCTTTTCACAGATTTCTTTGTCTTTCTTATTTTCGCCAAACTCCACTGGCTAAATACATTGCTCGTGAAAAACACAAACTGCCTGTCGGAACAAGGCAAGCCATTAATTTAGTCAAAGTTAATTTTTATTGCCTGTCTCTATATTATCCAACCGTTCTACTTTTACTAAATTTCACTCGTTCATTCTTCCTGAATTTCTTTCGGGAGGAAATTGCTCCCATTATTTTATTGACGTAGACTCACCCACACTTTCACTGAACAAAGAAGGTTACCCGCAAAATGTCAAATAAATAATAGTGCACCTCTCACAAGGAAAAAGAAGACGAAAATGGCGTTTTACTGAAATGCAGTAAATTATACTGCATCCGTACGAGTACATAACTCGTAAATTCTACAGAGAAACTTTATAATTTTACGTAAGAAGAAAGGTTTTATGATTAAATATGTTGTAAAGCCTCCGGTGTAGGTTTCCTATTAGACATAATATTCGTCAATATTACCAGTTTCATCACAGTGAGGCCCAGATTTAGATAAATGCAAGGCCTCTCATTGGGAAGGGGAGGGGAAAGTTTTTCGTCTTCCCTTTGGTCTTTGGGTGAGGATGACAGAGTGATAATAATACAGGGTGTTAATAAAGTCCGATCCCATTTTTCCTGTAAAAAAGTGAAGGCTAGTATAAAAAAAAACTACCCGTGATACTTACAAAAAATGTTCGACATATTTACCTTAGTATTTGGTCTTGTTACCATTTACTTTAACCATGCCCTCAACTCTTTGTTTAAGGCTCTGTGCTAATTTTTCCAATGTGCCTCTGGAAATCGAATTCCATACATCTTGAACTTTTTTTTACTAGCTCTTCCCTCGTCCGGGGTTGTGGCTCTTTGTATACATTTTCCTTAAGTATGGACCACTGGTTCTTCAGGGGATTCAAATCTGGGCCGTTAGCGGCCCACACCCCCTTGCTCCAGACCGTTGAAACTTGCGTCTTGATGAGACTCAAACTCGCTTTTGCTGTATGGGCTATAGCACCATCCTGCATGAAAACTATTTTTCTTTCATTCGGAAATATTTCCTTGTTCCCCATGCTATCGAAATAGATAGGTAATATTTTTTCCATATAATGCTTTGCATTGACTGATTGGCCTTTTGGTATGATATGTAGAGGGGTCACGCAACGTGCACAAAATCCACCCGCTACCATAACTTTAAGCCCGAATTTTGGGATCGCTCTTGATGGTACATCCGATTTGTTTTCTGTCCTGTAACGAACATTTTGTTGGTTCAATTTTGGATATAGCTCAATAATAGATTCGTCAGTCCAAAGGATGTGACTGCGCAATTCTTCACCAAGTCTTTTTTCACTCAAATGGGCACTTTTCTGAAGGAGTTCTTCAAATTTCAGACGGTCATCGATATATTTTTGTGACATGAGAGGTTTTTTTGGTTAGTTTGTAAGCTGTGTGACCCCACTTCGTAGTTTTCACAAATTTTTGCACGGTCACACAGTTAATTTGCTTCTTCTTCTCTTTATAGCGTTTTGAGTCATTTAACTCCCTTGCTCAATTACGTAATGAACTACCGGTTTTCTTGCAAAGTCTGTTTTTAATCATTCTTTTTGTGGTAGGTGACACCTTTCTGGGTCGCCCTGGTCGCTTTTTGTCGTGGACAAAATTTTTATTCTTCCATTTCCAAACAGTTCTGCGGCTGCAGCCCAATTTTTGCACAATTTCTGTAGGTTTAAGCCCCTGCTGATGCAATGTTTGTATCTCAACTCTAAGATGCTCATGACTTACACGTTTAGTTGTTCCTCCCATGGTAAAAATTTGAAATAAATAACTTCACTGGTTCAAAAGTTCCAGCTGAATTTGTAACAACCACGCTCCAAAAAATGCATGGGATCGGACTTTATTAACACCCTTTATAAAATTACATATTTCCCGTCGAACACTAAATTCTCTAAGGAACAGCGTGAAATAGATTCGACCTCTCTTTTCGTTTCTTGTTATTAGGCAATCCTGCAAGGGGAGAAGGAAAAGTTTCCCAAACACGACTTGGGACACGGACATTGGGAAGAACACGGCACTTACCTGTGTCACGATCTTAACCGCACTATCCTTAATGCTTCCCTACATACCAGAGAGCCGCCGCTAACTCACCACGAACCCCATTATTAACTGGAAGTACAACAAAAATCCGAGAAGAAGAAATATCTCGAGATTTTTATTCTTGTCACTCATGTAATAAATGATCCACAAAGATTTTCACGGCTAGGTTCTTTCAGTAACTTGAATAGAGTCAACTATCGCCTTCTCACAACTTTCTCCGATCTAGGAAGTAAATTCCCTAGTTTAGTGGGATCAAGACCTTTTGATATAAATCGCAGTTCACGGGTGGTATGAAAAACCTGAGGAAAGATAAAGTATATTTAACACCTAGAAGAGACGAGGAATCTCGTGATGCGCTGATTATTGCTTTCACCCACCATGAGAAACACGGCGCAGCAGGGGCCGACAGCTCCACATTGCAGAAAAAGGAGTTGGAAGCAGTTAGATGAATACGATGCTACTTATTTTATAAATTATACATAGAGAAGCAAGCAATGCAGCAAATGTAATAATGCATTGAATTATATTTAGTTGAAAAATGGAGGTCTAAACATGTCACATGTTGATGGATAGCGAGTCACACTGGATTCTCAAACAAAACCAAAAATCTTATAATGCCAAATAATACTACACGACATATAATACGATCTTTAGCCTGTTTTCTGTTACACATGCTAAAATCCTGTTACCCGAAATCCAGAAACTCCATTATATGCAGAGTTTCTTGGTTATAAAGTAATAAAGGCTTTCAAATTTTTTTATTCAAGTATTCTAGAATTTTAAAATCTCTGCACCTAGTTTGACCTTATGCGTTGGGACAAAGTGCGTGGGTCCCGAGCGCTGATTAGTTTATATATGAAACGAGTTTGCAGCCAGTCAGGTTGGTGGAAAACTGACTCGTTTGGCATCCATGACTGAAACCTTAACTATGAGTATTAGCCTGGTTGTGAGTTGTAAGTCGTCGCAGAGAATTGATTTTGGAACAGAGCCAAATGTGGATAATGGTAGGACAAATGGAGGTGGACTTTTACTTTGTTGTTAAAACGTAGATCTGCACTTGACCAAAGTTTGGTCTCGAGAAGTCCCGATTCGAGCAGAGTGCTACATTAAGTCCATTCTGAATGCAAGCTAAACTCAACTGAACTCTGGTCCCTTAACGACGAACCAGTCTTCCTACTCCTTAGGAGGCAAGGAAATAAGGCAACATCCCGATGACGATCCCATAGATATCGCAATCATATAAAACTCACGCAGTAGTACATGTAATATATGTCGAGGACGAATGCTTGTTTCTTTATCGGCGACCTAATATTGCATCTGGAGGGCAGCATAAAAAAGGCAGCATTTTGTGTAATACCTACCAGCATAGTTCATTTGACTCACAAAATTGCGTCGCGTTCCTCGGACCTAAAATTTTTCTCAAAGTGTGAGCGAGATTTAGGCGGACAGACAGGAGCAGTAAAGACGTAAAGAGGAAAAAGCAAATTAGACAACATGAATCTTGATCTGACATAGAGAGGGATCTTAAATGATAGGATCGGAATCCACCTTCTTAACGATGTACTTTTCTTCATTTCAAGTGGGAGATGCTGGGGCTGGTAGCACAGCTTGAGTGGGGGAAAGTAGTGACTGCTTCTGCTTGCTGATGTGTCTGCTTGTGCAGTTGCGACGGTCCCCTTTCTTCCTTTTCTCTATTTTCTTTGGTTCATGCAAGAAAAAGGGTAGACAAGTTTGTGATGAGGGCAGCTGTCGACTAAAACTTAACTGTAAGTAAACTGCGACACTTTTCAAACACACGCTCCATACAACCAGTTACCCAACAATCCACCCAGCAGCACGGCCATAAATTACACTTTACACGCTACACAGTTTCATATCTTTTGAAAGAAGTTGAACACACTGCAAAAAAAAAAATTTTTGTCGAACAAGGTGCAAATAAGTGTAGACTGTTGTGTTTGTGACACAGGTTGCTGTGAGTCCAACTCAGAGGACACGCTGGGCTCCGTGTATGGCAGCCTGGTCGCCGGAAATGGTGGGGGGAGCAATGGGGACGATTGGGCTCCCTTCGGTATTCCTCCAGATGCAGAGTACATCACCGCCATGATTGGAGAAAGCATCGTTTTCAACTGCCACGTCGAATTTCCAGACAACTATCCAGTTCCCTACATTGTGCAGTGGGACAAAAAGGTAAGAAAAATCTCAATCTGGTTCCTTTTCAGTACTCAATACAGCCTGCATGCAATAAATGACATATTGACACATATCCATGCATCTGATGTAAATAAGTATGAGTTGATAGTAGAAATATGTATGTACATACGGGCATGAAGAATGTGTGAAATAGACTACAACCCACCATTACTACAAATTCAAAGATGTTTTGAAAATCACAGAAAAATCCCTGTAGAGATGGAGGGACAAAGAGTGAGCACAATACATGTATGATTTATTTCTGTGTCAAACTTTTCATTTCTGTCAACCTGTGAGACGAAATATGTACGTATGTACAAACATGGAGATAAAAAGTTGGCCCAAAATGTCGTAAAATGCTTTCACAAGAGCACAATTGTTGAAATAAAACTTGAACTCCTTTCTTCCGTCATGTCTTTGACCTTTCGCTATTATTAGGAGCAACCTCCTTGCATCATTCGAGATATAAAATACTAAAAGATGTATATACTTGTTACTACTAAGGACAGAGTTATCTGGTTGTTGTGCTCATTTCGACATATAAAATGAGACTAAGCGAGCAAGCTAGGATTTAACAAGACCCCGATGATTCTACCCAATTCCCTTCCAAGCAGAAGCTTTATTTGCATAATTTTTTGGGGCTGTTTTGACGAAACGAGGAGACTTTTGTGTTTAGATGCTGAAAGCAGCACTCCACGTGTTCTTCAGATATTCTGAGTACTTACTTTAAAAATATGTATAAATTTGTAGCCTATATACAAATTTCGTAACTCCAGATCGAGTTAAATACGCTGTAGACCAATTTGTCTTTCAATTTACCTTATAATTATATTTGTAAAAGAGCTGAAGAGCAAGCCACATATGAAAACACAATTTCCACCAGGTCGAAAAAGGCGGGCTTGTGCATGTCAAAGCGTACGAGTGTGTAATGCCATAATGCGCCATAATGTTACATTTCCAGTTGAATTTTTTTGGGCGAGAGCATCAAGGTGGAAATACGATATCAAAATGAAAATTAGGCAGAAATGTCGAACTCGAGAAAGATCACCAATCCATGCAGCGTCATATGTACAAGTTTTCCCGAGAAGGAAGGGAAAGGAAGGAACCCAGCACTCCCTTATTCCTCCCGTAGAAAGTGTCATCGTCCTTTCTTCCATCCCATTTTCCAGGTTTTGGCGAATGATGCTAACTCTGTAGTCGGTGAGTGAGTGTACCGATAGATATGGCGAAATGTCGTACCACCACGGCGGAATTAGACTCAGCGAGAGAAAGGATGAAAGAAGCGGAGCCAAGTCAAGTCATCCAACCAACCACCCAATAGTTAAGACCCACAACGTAAAACGATAAAGAAGGAAGCCCACTTCTTTTATTTCCACTAGTTTGGCTTTGTTCCCAATTTCTACCGACTCAAGAAATACAATTTCCACCCCTGACTGAGGAGAGAAAGTCTCGATGCAATTGTTGGCTTGACTTCACCGCCGGAGAACAGAACCTGCAGAATTTGATCATCATCTCACATCAATACAGAAGGAAGGAAGAAAAAAAACTTGACTCAAAGTCAGAACGTATCTTGTCCCACACACACACACAGCCATTACATTCGACGTCAACCGCATATGTATGTATCCCACAGAGGTTGGGTTGTTTTTTCGGATGGCTTGGTTATCTGTTTGTTGGACGCCTTGGATGCACGGGAACATTTCAGAGTGCGCCGTTACATATCAGATGACTACACTTCTCAACGTTTGTTTGTTATCAACATGTCACTTTTTCTAATAATCGGCACTGGAGAAGATTGTTGGTGTAACGCCATATTGGTTTGCTTTCATTTTTAGTCATCTTTGGTGTGCCGTGTCCCACAAAACAAATAAAAAGAGAAAGTTAGCGTTGAAATGGCCAGTTGTGGCACGAACTAGAACTACATACGCGTTCGCCCAGTTTCTGGGATGATATTAACTTTAGAACATAACATGCCTGTTAAACAATATATATATCGCATTGTATGAACAGGTTTGGCAAATCTGCACTCTATTTTATGAAGACGCTCTAGCTATGACATTTTGTCAATCTTTTATTGCAATGTGCACATATTTAGCCACAAAATTTTAGATGACGCAATCGTTGATGATGGATTACACAATCATTCATCACCTTTGGGTATTATCCTTCGACAACAAATAAGAAACTGGGAATACAAATTTGACGAATTGAATTTTTGAAGAGTGTGAGACGGCTACATAAATATCTGCACTTCACGCTTATCCTCTAACCAGGCACAGTCTAGATAAGTATATACATAAGTTCTACAAGATAATAGTACAACGAAAACCACTTTTCTCTTTTTGTAAATAATGTGGTCCAAGTTGGGTTTTCCTCAGTTTAGAAATGGCAAAAGTTTGTTTTTGGAATATCGCTCCATTTCATCCACTCGCCGACTAAACCACCAACGGCTCGGGACCACAACTATTTACAACAACTTTACCAAGAACTGCTCTTAAAATCCATATGAAAGATAATGCCTACTTTCTCTCTCATATGTGCATGCGTCGCACGAAGCATACAGCTTAATTTTAAGTAAATGGGTAGACGATGAAGGTTCATTGCAATAAAAGTATTTCATATCCGCATCTAAGAGGATTATAGTCCAACCTGAAGGATACTCCTCGTACTTTCTCCTTCCATTGGTCTTGTCACATTTTAATCCGAATTAAATAGACAATAGAATATCTCTGACAACCTTTCATGTCTTCTGTCGTCGTTAAATTGGAACTTTACAATACTTTTTAACTTCATGGCCTGAATATTGTATGGAATATTTGTCATAAAAGTTTTTACGTTCTGAGAAGAAACCAGATGAAAGGCTGACATTAGGCAAATGTATGGAAACATTAAATTCCATTCGAATGTATGCATGTTCATTTCCAAATTTCTATTTCAAGGATAGGTGGATATTTCTGCCATTACAACAACGATGGGGATGAAGTTAAAAGTTTTGCTATCTAGTTCTGCTGCTGCCGTAACCCGTGGGAGGACCTTCTTAATGGAAACTTTTTTAATTGAAAAAAGCCATAAACTTCTTCTTTTTTTGACTGTGAAAGTCTTGAGTTGACTCAGTGAGTGGAAGAACCTAATGGTGGTGAAGTTGAATCAGTGAAAATGTGACCTCCTCTTCCCCTCCATCCCGACATTTGCTGCATGCGAAAATGTGTGCAAACGACTACCTTCTTCTCAGTCCGAAATAAAGTTGCTGCAGAGGAAATAATATATGAGATTTTAAAGGTCGAAACTGCACGTGAAAAATTTAAGAGATGTTTTGATTGAGAATAAATTATGCATATGGCCCATCACCTGCTCCCTGTTGGACCAGTTATCTACGACGGAATTAGAATTTATTGTTGCATCCCTGTCACGAATCCCACATTTGCTCATTCAACATTCACATTTACTTGTTTCCCCATCCGATCCTATCTGATCTCGGAGGGGGAGAAAGCATGTGCTCAGAGTGGAAAAAATTGCAATTCACAAGTCCAACCAATGTTACAAGATTCGTGTTTGTCTATCTGTCTGGCATGATACACATGCTCTCAACATCCTCTCTCCATGAACAAACCAAGACGAAAATGTAATGAAACAGCAAAGCCCAGAGGTCATAAGTTTAGGCGAAAGTAAATGCATAATAAACAAAAAGTCAAGGGTCCATCTTGGGAAATCGTCAATATTATTTACTTTTCTGCTGGTGGTAATACGCACATGAGGTCATGCTGATGGCAAAAGTGTATCTATGTTTCTATATATAAATATTTGTGTGCTAACGAAAACCGATAAACTCTGCGTCACACAATTCAACGTCGGCTTCAACTTTTCCGCAACATTGACCGAATCCGAACCATTTCAATACAATAATAATGCGACGACACAACTTTGACCAGAGAGCAACCATGGATTTGTGAAATCCTTTTGGCTGTTGAATCACTCGGATCAGAACCTTGCTTACTTATTGTCTGCATCTTGGAGCTTGTTCGCTTTTCAGCAGTTTTGCCTATACGTTATTATTGGGATGGAATATGTATTTATATAGAAAACCCCAATTTCACATTGTATTTCAAACCGTTTCGCTCCACTGACTTACACAATCACAAGGAGGAACTGACTCAGTTACTTACCAACTTGCTCAAGGATGTAGGCGTTAACCAGCGCCAGCAGTTGGGTAAGGAAGGAATGGAAGACGATCCAATCCATACGAACGCAAAGTAAGTTAAGGGGTTGTTCAAGGGTCATTAGTCGCAGCATTCCAACACATTGAACTTGGACATGAAGCAACTTCCTTTCGTCGGCCCGAGTGAATAAAAATAAACTCGTACAGCCCGCAATATGCACTGCTCGTCCGCATACATGAAGGGACTTTGAAAATAAAGTCTAAAATGTCAATGGATGGAGAAAGTTGACTTTTTTTACTCGTTGTCTGCGTATTTTGTGTGTTGTGTTTCTCTGCAAGAATTTACTCCATTTTTCGAGTTTCCCTTTGACAAATCAAAAAGTTATTTCTTTATCCCGGAGCCACAATCAATTCTCCAGACTCAAAGATGAAGTAATTGGCTTTTTTTCCTGAGTAATATTGTCTCAAGTCAGAACAAAAATCAGCAAAGAACTCGATTCATATCTTTCCCTTGGCAAAATATCATCAACTCTCTTCAGCTGTCTGCGTGTGTAGGAGGCGGGTGGGCAGGAAAGCGGAGAAAGCTCCAACAAATTTCCAATCGATTTAGAATTTCGCCCATTTTTTCTCTTATATATGTGGATTGAATACACCACCAACCACCTTTGGCTCCTAGATTTCTCTTATACAACTCTGCACCCAAGAACAACCAATCGACATATCGGCTCCAAAATAAAAACATGTGCCTAATTCTTCAGATAGAAACTATACAGATACACACATAGTTTTTCGGACTGTATCCTGCACAAGTCTTCCTCTACACACTTAATAGCTGATAAGTGTACCGAAGATTTCATTGAATAAGGAAGCTTTACTTTCTCGTGAGAAGAGCCTACGTTGCCAAAGTACATACGACACAAGACTTTGATGAAGCCTACGAAGCACAACAAAATGCGAAAAAATACTCGTAAGGTTCCAGCCAAATCCAATTCATCCGACAGGCTTTGAACAAATTGAAGTGAATGCTGAGAAGAGAAAAAGGAACATCTTCCAGCCAAATTCGATCCAACTGTCATTCACTCGCGTTGTCGAGAAAAAGAGAGGAAAAGAGGTTTGGTTTGGTCAGTGGAAAGAATGATGAGCACTTGAACTAATTGTAAACCCACGACCATAAATTATAAAGCTTTTGAAACAGCGATAAACTCAATTATGGAATGTACGTATTTGGATTAATTTGGAATGCTTACCTGCGTACATCAAAATTTAGCGTAGATTACACTAATTACATGATTCTATAATTTTAAATTAATACTTGAAGCCTTTAAATGTAATTAACACGGACACGACAAGCACTCGATCGACTTAATATTGCTCAATTAAAATCTTGCCATTAATTCACCTCGCGGCTGTTTATTCCTCAATTAATGAACACACATAAATAGATAGGTGCGTAGCACAGCAGTTAATTGGCGACTTGATTGAGCAAATGTCATTCACTCATTCAATTTCATATGTTCATTAATTCACATCACTTCTTCTCTCTAAGCTGAGAACCTCGCTGTTCCTCACTTGTGTACTTGAGCTACTTATATAGATGTCATATTATTAAGCAAACCAAAGAAACTACGCCAGGTTTACAATTCCAGATTTCCTTTTAGTATCGAGTAACATTCTATGAAACAAGTAAATATAAATCTACAGCAGTTTTATGTAATCTAACTGCGTCCGCCGCACTGTCTTAAGTTATTAAAAACCTGTTAAATTGTCATATCTAAGCCTTCACTAGAAATCTAATTTTTGTCGGATTTTGACAATTCTTCTGCATGTTCGATAACCCTATTTTTGCAAAAATAAATAACTACAGAATTTCAAACTGATGTAAAAAAAATAAGCAAGAAAATAATTCTCACGCTAAGGATCATGTTATTGTGCATGCAGTCAGTACGTTCATCTTGAAGAGGGAAATTAGGTTACATTATAAATTCCACACTAATATGAAATGACATACCATAACTAAAGCTGTCCAACCCAACACGTGAGATTTTATAAATTTCCCACAACGGACGACTAAATTTGGTGGAGAAAGTTGAACTTTTTTTATTTTTTGACTTTCCGGTCCCGATCTGTAGCGGAACGATGAGCTACTTTCTCATTTCTCGAGTAGGATGACATAAAATGAACATGGAAAGAAACAACTTATTTATATTCCAAACCGGTTGTACATCTTAAAGAGTGAGAGAAAGGGCGAGATGGGAAGGAGATGATGCTACTGCTGATGCTGCTGGTCTGGTTGCCTCTCTGCCTCGAGGAACAGCAGTAGATCTTTCCTTGTCACTCCGGGCTTAAGCAGAGCTTTGACAATGACATTTGACTCGTAGTGACATTGCGTGGCATTTGACTCGTCCTCGTATTTCCTTTTGAAAAACTAAACTTTTTTTCCTTTTTAATATATTTTTATGCTTTCCCCATATCTCTCTGCCTCATCGAATCGAACTTTAATATTAACAAGGCAGCGTCGCAACAGAATATTAAATGGCGCACACATATTTCTCTATTTTGTGACTCGACCTTTTTATGCGAAAACTTGGGGACATTTTCATTTTTAGCTGTCTGACTTACTTTGTCTTTCTTCTGGCACTCATCAGTTTCTGCGGGTTTTGTCAATAAAATTGAATGTCCCAGTTTCAAAGTGCCACAATTGTACGTATTCTTACTTTCTTTAATTTATTTAATTTATTACTGTACACTTTTCGTATCTCTTAAATATAAGAATTGTGCTTTGTGAGTGTAAGGACATGTATTTGGGTAAGAAGAGAGCACGGTGGAAATGTAAAGTTGATCGTGGTCTGCTTTTAGGCAGAAAAAGACTATTTTTTATTACAAATTTTCACGGATCAGCATTTCCTTTCACTCTGTTTCACACATCCTCGCATTGGTTGTTTTATGCCGCTTTGTAGTGTATTGGTGAACAATAAAAGAGCACAATTTGACGACGCATGATATTGGTTTAGCTTTCCCTTGTCAACTGCCTGATTTGACACTTTGTTGACAATTTCATTTATTTTCAGTTAGGGAGGATGCAGTCTGTCATTAGTTTAGTTAGCTTGTCCCAAGTGTGTGTGTGGTGGTGCAACTTCAACTCTTGACTGGTTCCATTATTATTTCCCGCATTGCCATGATATTGACTGAACCAGAACAAAAGCAAAACAGCAAAGCAAATCAAAATCACATACCTCACAGCGAAACAGCTTTCACCTCCAAGAAACGGAGGAAGGGAGACGTGGAGGAGAAAAAAGACTTTATCGTTTGTCATTCTCTTTCGACTTGGAGACCGTCTGTGCTAGTCAAACCTTTGAAATGACGGCGTGATGCAGATGCAGGTTCAAATGACAAATTGCAGTGACACACACAACTGACTCTGCTGCTGCTTTGGTGTGGTGAAAGCTGGCTTCAATTTGGTGTGACATTGATAGCTGGTAATGTGCAATTTATAATATTTACTAGTGAAATTTGCATCACGTTAACTATATTTCTGGCGCCGGATGTAATTTAAAGGTTGTGAAATTTTCCACCAAATATTTTACTGCTAAATATATTTGCTTCTTATTACTAACACCAGTCGGAATCATGTTGAATGTAGCATCGCAAATATGATCCATCCATTCGCAATGGTTTAATTACTCCTCACTTGACTTGCAAATTTCGTAAACCCGATGTACGTGTAATTTTGCAAGAGGTCGCATAAATCATTCTAATGTTCAGGTTAATGTCCTCCCGTTAGTGTGGAGCCTGGTCCCCAAAGCAGAATAATGACAAAGTACGCTACCAGGCCCAGGTACATGCACGGTGTGGTTCCGTGATACGCATGCCACTACTGTGTACTTATCCTTAGTGAAGCCAAGGTGTGGTGTATGTGCCATAAAACGAAGTTCCCTTTATTGAAGAAATCAGAGACTCTCTGGGGTACCATTTGCCTGATCAAGAAACTTTTTCCGGCCAGGCTTGTCTGGCTAAAATGATTCAAACACGAAATTTCGCAGTGCAAAAAAAGACTCGGCGGACCAATCCATTTTTATCCAAGTTTTAACTACAACTTTCACTTTATTATTCTATGCCTCTCATAGAAATGTACGTATGCATGCATATACATGCAGGGCAGAGTGTTAATCAATCTCCCATGCTTGAAAGTTTTTTGAATGTGTAACGTCATTAATAAGAATGAACTTTTGACTTTAGATATTCGTACAAGGTTGAGTGCAGGAGTATATAAGATTATAATTTCTAGAACCATGTGCCAAAACAACGGTTAATACTATTACACTCTTCACAAAGTCCTAAAGAGAAAGCTCTCCTCGCAAACATAGTCAAAACATATTTACTGTCGCATAATGCAGTAATACAATTTTATTTGTGCAATGTCTAATTGGTGCAATCTATGTAAGTATATGTTATCTGGAGAATGACCTATGACATGCTCGGATTAATTAGAATACAGTAGAAAGCATAGCCGATGAGGTTTCGTGTTTTTAGTTAGTTTGTTATTATTAAAAGCATATAAAGTTTTTGTTGCTGTAGGCCTATTCTCAATTAGGATACGAAGCAACGGCCTGGGTGTTCATCACGTGTTACTGTTGCACCTCATGATTTCATTTTTCTTCCTCATCAACTTGGTCCTAGCGCGTAGAGTGAGCAGAGTTCACAGCAAGAAACAGAGTAAAAGATAAAGTGAAGAAGAGTATAATTTCTTCAAGGGATCCAGAATTAATGGATGCGATGCAACAGCATGAAACAATAATCAATCTGCAATCCAGGAAACGCGGACCGACCACGGACACTGGTAAATGGAAAGTGCATCACTTAATGGATTTGTGGTGGGCATGATCGAGGGAGCCAGAGTTGAAAAATGAGGCTGTCGAGGCATTATCGTATGAACTTGCCTGTGGCCGCAGACTTTCACTTTCTCCATTTCAACCGCAAGTCCAGGTTATATAGTTGCGTTACATGTTGACAAGGATAACTTTCTTCCCCCGCTTCGCACACTTCTTCGTTATTCTAATGCATAAATACGTGGGTAGTCTCTAGTGTCAGTGTCTGAGGTTTCCTTACTAATAGATGTATGTATGCATGTATTCCTGCCCCATGAAAATCATTTATTTTCTAAATTTCACTAAAATGAGTTGAATTTATTATTGGTTTTGCAGGGAGTGGATATTCCCATCCACATATGGTACGATGGCTATCCAACCCACAGTGGCGAAGGGTATGAGGGCCGAGTGGCTCGTGTGAACCCAAACAGGTGAAACCATAAAAATCAAATGAAGTACTCCATCTTGATACAATTTAATTCATTTATTAACAGTTCCTATGGTCTGGCTTCGCTCAATCTCACAACCATCAGAGAATCGGACCGTGGGTGGTACAATTGCAAAGTGTACTTTCTCAACCGGAGTCCACCCCCTTCCAACAACAAGAATGTCACGGGAAGTTGGTACCATTTGGACGTGCATGCGCCTCCTCGCTTCGTTCACACCTCGGATGGTAAGTTAGTTTTGATTACATATTTTTTAGCATAAATGACAAGTTCATTAGAAACTATAAGTAAATTAAATATTGTAACCGTCCATGTCTCCAGTAACGCATTGTATAATACGAGGAATAATATGATTTCTTTTCTTTTCCAGACACTGTGTATACTAAAATCGGGAAAAACATTATTCTTCACTGCCGAGCTGAAGGCACACCACCACCAGAAATTGTTTGGTAAGCTACCATTTTGGCATTACTTATGAATGCGTCATATCTACCTTAATAAGAGCATGATATGCTCTCCAGTTTGACATTACACACATTCCTACAAGAATTTCTGTCTAGAAATGAATTAGTTGTAAAAAATTACATGCAAGCTGTATTCTGCATTTGTGCATACATATCTATGCATATGAATTTATATCATCCGACTTGGTGGTCGACGACGTACTACCATCCATGAGAAACTGCAGCGCGTGATTCGTTGATTTTGCAAGAAGATGAGAGAGTAGACATCCACCTTTGCTTTGTCGTTTATAAAGTCTTGAGGAGAATAGCCTCTGTCTCGTCGCACTTCCGACAACACTTCAATAAATCACATTTTCATGACTGGGAATGGAACATTCTGTAGCAAGGTTGCCATTTAGGAAATAGCTTTTCAGAGATGCAGGAGATATGAAGAGATATCCAACTAAACCATTTCTGCCAGTTCTACTAAACCATCACTGATCGAGGAAACTGGGCACAATGCAATAAGGGAACGACGTGAGAGTGAGGCTTGCTATGCTACATATGACACTGCCCATACGTGCATATGCAGTATATACGTACCTACGAGCTGTATAATATTATTACATACAAGTACAAAGTACTTGTTCTCTCAGAAGGAACGATATTGCGAATTATATCAAATCGACCTGCTCCTCGTCGCTTATCGTCATATACTTGAGCGGATGATGCTTTCTCACTCACTTACGATCTTGGTCCTTTCACGAGAAAGGAGAACTCTCAAACTGAAGGATAAAGAAGAAGACACGTACATAATTCGGGAAACAAGTATCCGAGTGAAAGTAAATTTTCAAAAGACAGTCAACAAGAAAGAACCTTGACTTTTCAGGCTGTGTCCTTCCATCTCCTATGTGGTTATATGTATGCTATTCACCATTGGTGGACGCGGTCAGCATCTCCCTCGCTTCCATAGTATCTCCGCTTCTGTCACAACAACTTTGTAAGGCTGATTTGATCCGAGATAGTTTCGCGTATGAGACGTCGTGTTAAGTAAAGTGAAGAAAGAAACTTTTTGTCTTCCTGATTATGATAAAACCGGTCGTACCAATTTACCTTTATTATTGGTAGTTCTGCCAAATCGCGTCATTCAGAACGTAAATGTTCAAAAATCTTGTGTAGTTCTTATGCATTCTGTGATACTCCACTGTCTGTTGGGCTTTCGGATATTTACCTTCATTTTTAGAATGCTTGCAGCCAGAGTTCTTCTCCTCGTTTAGTTTTGTGATACTGGAAGAAGTGCCATCAGGAATAGTATGAAAATACTTTCGTCGAGGCCGGGTTACACAAGAGTTGAAAAGTTTGAATACTCGGAGAAAGTTGAGCATGAAACAAAATTTGAATAATAAAATATCTGCAGTGAAATTTCCATACTGAAGTGGAAAGAGAAAAGAACAGCGACGCCATGGCCTGATTCACCGTGTGCTTGATTAGAGAAGACTCGGATACCATTATACATATACGAGTCGCATTCATTTAAAAGTTGACGACGCATTAAATTAAACACAAAAGAAGGAAATGTTTGAAAAGAGCCACATGCGATGATTTCATTCAAAATATGATCACTGATTTTCCTTTCAGCTTTGTGGCATTCGTACATTTGCGTTATGCTCATGAGAAAATTTGAACTGATTATTTTCATGTTTGAATAAAACATAATACGGAATAAAATTGTCAAAAACATTTGGATTCTTTTGTTACTTTTCTCCTTGAAGAGCTTTTCGTCAAATAATATTTGCTCATGGACCATTTCAAGTCTAAGGCATTTTTTATGCTTCATTTTTCATGTAGGCACATATGCAATCTCTATCCTGCAATGCTCATCCTTACTATATTTTTGCTCTTTACACCATGAAATGGATAGGAACCATATACATAAATACCTGAAAAATAAAGAATAACCTCGATAGGCCGTTACAGGCAACCCGTAATTTAGTCAGTTAGTTGGGGCGAAACGTTCAAGGTTTTTGAGATGTAAAGTTCCTCCCAGACCTCTTTACAAATAATAAAGTATAAAATTTATAGGCGATGGCAGCTATGTGTTTATTTCCATTTAGATTTGTTAAATTTTTACGTGTCAGTAAAATTACTCTAAATGCGACATCAAGTTTCAAATAAAATGCGTGACTTGATCTACATGGACAACTTTCATTGTGAAGAGATCGTTGTCATGCTGGAAGAATCAAAATTGAGCGAGTGCTCGCTTGATGCTCAGCAGCAGGAGAAAGCGTCCGAAATGTTCCTCTGAATTTACCAATATTCTCATCTTCCCTACGTATCCAAGAAACCGAGGAGAAAGTCAAATGTCGATTTTCCACTGAAGTTGCAACTTAAAACTTTTTTGGTTGTATAACACATGAGATAACACCAGTGAGTGAAGAAAGTCATGTCGTGCACTCAACTCTACTAAAGTGCCGTGGAAAGTGCACTTTCCTTGCGAAGTGAGGAAGATTATGGTAAAGTTGGTAGTAACATTGGTTGTGTTGGTTGAGTATTGGTTGGAGCTGGTTATAGCGTCGTGGTGGAGATTATTGTTGAAGATATTAGACGTAGCTTCCCATAGCATCGCTGTTCTCCTATCGACTAAAATAGCTAAGTATCAGTGCATATGTTGGTATAAGAGGACGTTAGAATTTAGTACATATGGTACCATCGGTTGTTCTGTAGCACAATTAAGAAGATGTCAATAGAAAATCATTAAAAAATGATGCATCCACATTTATACATAAATAATAAATAAGTGACGGAAGCGTCAAGGAATATCCTACCAAAATGAGCATCTTTGACACTTTTGCATTTTCGTCATGGCAGAAGTGGGAGAGGTGGTGGTGTTGTTGGTGAGGAGCCCTCGTATGTATTATCATCATCTCGTTGAGACCCTTCGTGGATGGAGAATCGGAAAAGCAGTTTAGAACGAGAACTTCTGCAAGAAGGAACTTGTCTGGAAAACGAGTGAACTGAAATGTTTCTATTCTTGCACTTCTTCCTTTTTGACATCATGGGATTGGATTGACGCTGGGCTGAGAGAAAGAGAGAGCAGTTCCTTGTTGTACTTATAGTCATCATGGCCCACACAAGTCTGCAGTTCCTGTATACTTAATGTAATGCCTTCCTTTCTTCGTCATCCAGCACTTTTCACTTTTGACATCAACGCTCAACTCGACACCACCATCGTCCACATCCATCCTTTACACATACTCCTAAAAATACGGATACACACCAGAAACATGGACATGACCCTAAAGTCTTCTTATACACATCCTGGGGTGAATAGATCCTCATCGATATATCCTTCGTCTTGAAATCAAGTCCACACACATGTTACCAGCACTTGAAATCTGCCTTGGTCGATTTCTTGCTCCGAAAGTGACTGACTTTAAGCTTTGTTGTGTTTTCATAGGTATAAGGACTCCGACCCGGTCCAGCCATCGGTTACAATATCGATCGTAAACGGTATGGTTATTTATCAGCTAATTTGATTAAACTTCTTTGTTACACCCTGATTATTTTACGTGTGTTTTTTTACAGAGGGCACTGAACTCCGAATATCGCAGATTAAAAATTCAGATGTAATAAAACTAAACAAACAAATATTATAAAAAACAAAACCCATCTCTAGCTTATTTTTTAAACTTAGGTTTCGGATTATTTGTGCCTTGCACGCAACCAAGAGGGGAGGATCCACCACACCATTCGAGTACTTATTGCAGGTAAGCTGACAAAATGTGATTTTCTTCTTTCTTTACATTTCCTATGTCTTAAGGAACACGTCCCAACTTTTAGTTTAGTTATGTCATAAAATGAGTCAACCGTACTTGGACTCCATTAAAATCTCCAAAAATGAGTTCTCACTATTGTGGGCAACTAACCTTTCAGCTAATTTTGAGCTCCAGAACGAAATCTGGAGTCACCAGCTTAAGCGCAAACTTCTTACAACAAATCCAGACGACGTAGAATGCGTGTAAGATTTTTGGAGAAAGTCGGAAAGTCCAAACACATGTATGACACACTCGCCTTAAAGCATTTTTTGTTTAACATAATCAGATGTGCAAATTCAAGTTTCTTTGAAGTTTAAATTAGTAAAATTGCTGATTAAATTACGATTTATTGATATATTTATCCAATACTACGTTATGTACTTGATTAAGTTAATGTTAATTGGCGAATATTAATTGGTGAAAGCACCGCTGTGTAGGTGTTTTACATTGTTAACATGATTACCTCCAGTAGTGCATTTAGTTAATCAATTTTCTGCATAAGTCGTTGGATTTGGAGAAGATTGTAGTCGGACGGGTCATTCATAAAATGGAGTCAAGTCTCTTAGAGGGAGCTGATGAAATTTGCTATTCCAGTCAACTTCCTCGCATCCTCGCTCACTCCTAAAGAACATTTGTTCTCCGTCAATTTTGCCTCAGTCAGATATTTCTCCGTCTATCGCTTCTGCCATCAAAAAGAAGGAGCGATCCAGACGAAAAAGTTGGCTTCTTCATATCCTTTCCCTCCGCCTCCCTCAATTCCCCTCATTTCTTCGTCCCCCCACCATTCGCAGAGGTCCGAGAGGAAAATCCACGAGTGGTGAAGCACGTTGTGGATCAATTTCTCCTTGTGCTCCTTCATTTGGTCCACGAAAGAGTTTTAGCATTTATTTGGTATTCTCCCGTTCTCTTTTTATAACTGGCAAGCAACTTCATCTTGATCTCTTCCTGAGAAAGGGAATAAATTGAAAGATAAGTTTGAACATAAGTTATATTTATGTGTCTCGGATTAGATGGACTGCGGAATGAGAGGATACGGAAGAAGGGCAGAAAGAAAGAGAAAGTGCATGAATATTATCAGTCCGTCGGCCACATTGTTGATCTAGCTCGCTGTTGTGTCCGTCGGCTGGTTTCTTTCCATTATGCGTAATACAAAAAACAAATATTGAGGGTATTCGTTATTTCTTCGTATCCGTAGTATCGTAAAATAGTTTACGAAGAAAAAACAAGGGGTCAAGCTTAGTAAAAATCGTAAGCGTAGTAACGTGATTTTCGATGACAAAATCTTACGACGCTTACAAAATCTCGTAAGCTTCGTAAGTTATTTTACGATACGAAGAATACTAAGGATACGAAGAAATAATGAATACCCTCATTGTATCCCAGCAGTCAAATCAATCATATATTTGAACTTCCGGTTCACTATCCAACCCGGCAGCCTAGCAAATAATAATTATTCCGCGAGCTGGTTACATGCATGTATTATTTATTATATGCGTATGCATAAATTGATTGATGTTGGTATATTATTGATAAATTGAAACTGAATTAGGTAGAAACTAACTTATTATATGTATGTAATATGTATACATAGTCTGATTTTGTAAGAAATATGTATGTGGCCAAGGTTTTCTATACGATTTGATTCAATTTTCTTGCTTAGACTATATACCTTACGATGTATTTTTCAGGTTTTTCTATGTAAAGAAATAAGTCTACGCTAAATTTATCTACGTATTTTACCTCTATTTTGTTACGCCATGAAAGAAAAAGTTTAAAATTTTGCGTTCCACTTACCAATTTCAGTAAAGTATAGACAGGGCGTTTCCTTTCATTTATTTCCAAGAGACTACAAGTCCCAACTTATTCTTTTTTGTACATCTTGAAATCGGAGGGGATGTCAAGAGGAATGCTAGGAATAAAATAAAACCGAAAGCAAAGGTGTTGAGGTTGGTATAAACTTTCATTTATTTAGCTGGTTGCCACACAAAATGGACGCAGACTAAAAATATGCGCACTTGCAATAATCCTTTCTTCTCTAACTCGTACTTCTGGTAATTTGCTTATACAACAGTAAGTTTCAGTCCACATATAATATTCTTGGAAGAGAGAACCACAATCCTTTCTTTTACCTACAAATTTCTCGTCTAGTCGAATGGACTTTCTCCCGCATTCTCCACGTACACATGAACTTTTCATGTAGAAAGTTTCCTTTCTTTCATCCCTCCCTTTTACTCGCAAAGATCAATTCGCTCGGATCTGATGACATGTTGCACGACACACGGTCGAGAAAAAACTAAAGTCTAAGAAACTACACAAATATAATGCACGAGTGAAAGTCAAGAAAGCAAAATACAAACTTGGCAAGTTCCAAAATTCACCGTTTTGTCCTCAGGATTAGAAATAGGCAAAATCCAACTAAAACTTTTTTAAAGGTTAATCTTGAAAAATTAAAGAGTTCCATAATTTGCTTATATTTTCAGGATCTGCCGTAATCATTACTCCTCCGAATAACATGACAAAAGTGGACGGGGAGAAGGCAATCTTTCCATGCGAGTGGAGAGCCAATCCGAGCAACAGTACGGTAATTTGGTATCGAGATGGAATTCCAACACGACAGATCTCATCTTTGGAGTCTCGCGTTAGTCTTTTACAAATTTATCACTTTGATTTGATGTTTATTCCGAGAAGAGAAGGGTTTGACAAAGGTTGTGAATGTTTTCTCTCAGATCGAGACGCCATCCGAAGGAAGTCTTATTATCAGTCCCGTGCACATGGACGATTCCGGCTTTTATGAATGCAGAGTCTCAAATGGGATTGGAGAGACCCAAAGTGCCGTTGCCTACCTAAATGTCGAGTGTAAGCTATCAGACTTTCACAGTCTTATTGTCACGTTGATAACAAGGTTGAATGGGATGAGAGACAACAAGGAGATAACAGCCAAGCAGATATGTGCAGTCGTATATATACACACAGTGGCTGCTCAGTGTACATATATATTTGTTACTAATAAATACAACAGAACAATATTTAATATCATCGCCCAAAAGGGAAATTGAGAGAAAATCTTCTTTCTTAAGAGAGACACACTACAGATGTGCATGATACGGATGACAATGAAATGCGCTTTGCTTGTAGTTTCTGAGAACTACTTCCTTAATAACAAAGTCAACTATTCTGTGTACACGGCATTGTCCAATTCAATTCAAGCGTCTCGAGAGAGTCTTTCATTCCTTTGTAATTTGATACTCATTTGTACCCGTTTGTTGAAACGACTATAAAAAACTCATTCCTCCCTCCAAAATGTGTAGCCCCGCAAATTGATTTGTCATTAGACAGAATGGAATGTTCTTATTATGCTTCTTCTTCTTCTTCTGGAGGGCTGCATACTCCATGAGATATCACCAACAACGCATATTGCATATTGTTCTGGTTGCCTTACTCCCTTTGTCTCGACTCCGGATTAGTTAAGACATACAGGATCAGATCGATTTTTAAATTGAATTTCACGCTTTATTTCATCATTTTCCTTCATTCTTGTAACTCTCCTATACAGACGCAGCTCAAGTGACGTACACCCCAACCGTGCAGTACCTGCCTCATCGTCTCTCTGGTGTTGTAAGATGCTACATCCAGGCTAATCCCCCAATCCAGTTCGTAATGTGGACAAGGGACAAACATCTTTTGGAGCCGTACGAAACGGATGGATTTGCAGGTCAGATTTTGACGCACGAATTAATGGAACTATTTACTCCAGTATTGGAAATATTTGAAATCCGCAACCTTACTAAATATGAGTCATATCAAAAATATAACTAAAAAAAATATTTAAGTACTGCTACAATAGCTTTAGTTGTTTCCTCGTTGTTGAGATATTGAAAGAAAAATCTCACTTGTATATACATATGATAATATAATTACGAATGGTTTACAGTAATGTCCAATGGATCACTGCTTATCGATCGGGTGAAAGAGTCACATCAAGGTGAGTGAACTTGCTTGAGGAGTGGATTTGTCATAAAAGTGAATGAATTGATGAACTAAATATAACTTGTAAATTTGCTCGTTTATTAGGAATGTACACGTGCACCCCGTACAATGTTCACGGCACAAAAGGTAGCTACATATTTAAAATGGGAAAGTAATTTAAATGGCATGAAATAAAATGTAATAATTTTCTATTTGAAAAGGATCTTCGCTTCCAATGCAAGTTATCGTTAAGGAGCCTCCAAAATTTGAAATTACGCCGGACCCACTCTATCAGAGAAAGCTTGGTTCTTCTTTAGAAATTCCATGTACAGCCATCGCCCCAAATGGTACAACTAGCCCACTCATTACTTGGCAAAGGGTACGTTAACAAACGTTTATGTGGAACATAAACGTTCAAATCAACAAAACAAATCTACATGTACTAAAATAACCAATTTCTGAGCAGAAAGATGGTCAGCCTTTGCCAAGAGATCGGGTACGCGTAGTGGAAGGTAGCTTAATGCTGGACAATCTACATCAAACTGATTACGGTACGATGCCACTCAACCTGTTTTATTATTATTTTTGTCTAAATCAACTGGTTGTATTAATATTAATTTGATGTTTTTTAGGGGAATATGAATGTGTGGCATCAAATGAAGTTGCGACCCTATTGACCTCCACAAAAGTCATTGTGGAAGGTACAAGACCACACGCTCCATTTAATATTAGTGCCACCAGCGCAGTGTTCACTGTTACTCTTAATTGGTTGCCCGGATATAGCGGTGGTCCAGACTTTAGACAAAATTACGTAGTCTGGTAAGATATGTTACGCACGTTAATTTGACAAGGCATCAATAAATAATGAGACGAGAAATGGCGTACTATATTATTTGTATGTTGTTCGTAGGTACCGTCTTTTGGGTGAAAGCAAATGGGAAACGTAAGTTGTCCACCACAGTTTTTGAAGTAATTGATAATAATGGTCTGAATTTTTTAGCGTTCCAGTTACTCCACCCGGAAGCACGAGAATTACAATCCGAAACCTTTCTCCAGGTAATGAAACGATTATGTACTGAATTAGGGAGCAAAGATTTGTTAAATTAAAATTCACAATTTCTGATGTTGAATTTTCAGGAAAGACATACCAATTTCAAATCATTGGAAATAATGAGCTTGGTGAAGGTCATCCTAGTGAAATTGTTAACGTTACTACCAAAGGTAATTTAATTCAGTGTGTTTCACGCGAACATTAGAATCCAGTTGACCACTTACAAATACTGACTTTCTCCACACTTGACTGTGTACTTTCACTACTTAATCTTTATGTGGATTCTCTAATCCTAAGTGCATTCAGCGTATCGTAGATTATTTGGGAAACATTGGTCTATGTATGTAAATAATTCAGGATGCGTATAAAATTGTTAACCATGTGCTTGTATTTTTTCATGCGTCTTCTAAGGTGTAGACACCATTCTTAATACAACTACAGAACCTCCTAAACCAGTGGTAAATGGTCCTGTGGTACCAAATACCAAAAGTCCAATGACAAGTCCTATCTCTGGTAATTGTGCTAATAAATGTCTTCGCTCTAATTTTTCGCTACTAAAAAACAAACATTGCCGCATATTTGTTGCTTATTTTCGGGTTTTATATAGTTTAATATTGTATTTTATTTGTACCTTTATTAAACCGTTGACAAGATAAACCTTCTGCTTACCACTACACAATTAATGACATTTTTTGTATTAATAGAAAGCATGTCCATGTTTATTTGTTTATTTGCACCCCTACTGCATTTTTATTTTGATTTTCACGAAATAGATATTCTCGACTATTCGATTATGATAACTTTTCCTTCTGATGAATACGGCTCCACGTATATTCCTATTCTCCTGCGACCACAAGGTTGGTTTTCAGTGTTTTTTTTTGTTAATTTGCATGACTAATTTACAATACTAATGTATGTATCAAGTTATATAATTTTGCTGTGCTTCAATTCCTGCGTTCCATTGCCCCACATTTAAATATGTATGTCGATTAATATTCCTCTTTCCTTTTAGGCCCAAAGCCTGGAGCCCCCCACAATTTAACGATACTGGAAACCCCAGAAACGTTTTCAGTCGTTGTAATGTGGGCCCCACCAGCAGATATGCATGTTGCTGTAGCATACTATCAAATCCAATATAGGTAAGTAATTTGGTGCTGAAAATTTATACGTGCTTTAAGTTTATCACGTCAATATAAAAATTATAACTGTATATTCTATTTTATAAGCAATTTTAAATTTCCGTATTTTTTCAATTAAAAAGATCCGGCGATGTACCACAATGGAAAACGCTCAATAAAGATAAAATTATTCCACCGGTATCTTCATATACCGTTAAAAGTAAGTTTCATAAATTAAAAGTCAATATACTAAAACTATTGAAGTTTGCGGATACTAAGGGTTTTGTTTTATACTTCCAGCTCGTCGTTTTAAAGAAGGAGAAACTTATGTGTTTCGCGTTGGTGAGTTTTTATTTTACTATGCAAAATGTACAATTTTATTGTTAATACTAGAGTCAAACAGTTAACTTCAAAGTTTAGTTAGATAATATATATAACTTATTGAAACTTTAAGTGTTATCTTCAGATGAAAATAATGTTTTATTTTGTGTTTTATGTAGTTGCTTTCACAGCAACGAGTGAAGCGTCAAATAGCGAAGAAATTAGCCATAAGATTCAGCCTAAGGATACACAACGTGCAATTATGGTACGGTTACAAACTTGTATTAAGTAGCTAATATAAATATTAATTGGAATCGTAAAATTACTAAAATGACATAATCTCCCCAAATCAGGCTGGCCTTGTTGGAGGCATCCTGTTTTTTATAGTTGCCATCATTTTAGCTGTGTGTGCTGTAAAGATATGCAATAGAAGAAAGCGACGGAAACAGGAGAAAGGTATTGCTTATGAGTTTCGCTTGTACTCACTGTTTCATGAAAATAACAATAATTAACTAACTATATTATGCATATTTGACACACCCCTGCAGCCTACAATATGGTTGCCTGTCGCTTAACTGATGCACGAAATGGAGGCCAAATCCCAGCACAACCCCAAGTCCCACCAAAAACGTAAGTCACAAATACTGTTCGAAATTGTCATTGGCATTGGATTGTTGAGAATAAAATAATTGAGGAAAATAAATATAAATAGTTAATCACTGGTAGTTATTTAAATGTTGATTAATATTTTGCGCCCCGAAAAACAAAAGGCGTCAGAAGAGTGGTGCAACAGTAAGTCTCGATTTCAAACTTCTGCACACAGTTTTGAGTGTTATGTTCACATTTGCAAGCAAATTTTCGTCGAATATATGTTACTTTCCTTATTAGTTTTTACTACATTTTGTTAGTTATATACACTTACACCTACCTACATTATATAATCAAATGAGGCGCTTTCAGTATTTGTATTGTTATTTTGAAAATAAATTGGTTCTTCGCTGCTGCATGACATCACACGCTACATAATTCATGCAATAATTTTATAACAAATAATACATTTTGATTGCTCTGATTTAGGAATGGAGTCGGCCCAGCACGCGATGTGACTTTGTTGCTGAAGAGAGCGTACCGATGTAAGCAATACGATAATACTTCACATTAATCTAATATCTTGATTAATTCTCAATAATTATTTATCGAATGAATGTGCGTCACACATAAAAATGGACTCACAAAGTCTGATAAATAAATAAGTTTAAAAATATTAACTCGGCTAAATCGATTAAAAACTAATGACATTTCATATTTACACTAAGGAAAAACCGGACTGATATATATTCTTTTGTTTCATGTGCCGTAATTAGGGGTGGGCCGAGGAGTGGGTAAGCAGAATTAATTACATGTTGTGCTTCATTATATTTAGTAACACGACATCATCTAACCAATATTAACGTATGTTGTAGGCCTGTCCATTATTCGCACAATTCGCCTGTTGGATCCCCCCTACATTTTAAGCAGATCGACGTCCCGAGGGATATCGATGTCCCGCCCCCAATCCATCAGCAGCATCACACTCTCCCTGGACGACACAGGTTAGTTTGCGTGAATATTTGGAATTGTCAGAAAAAGTACTCGGGATGGTACCTAGATTTGCATCAAAACTTAGCTACCATCAAAATTACTTGCTTACTTATTTCTAATTTGACAATTCATAAGTCTTCTTCTTAAGTCAACACCTTTTTTAATCCATAAGGTCGCCCCCACGTCACCCAACGTCACCACTACTCGCCATCGATATTGCAACATGGACTCAAAACGTCTAGGGTAGTTCTTCCTTGGGGTAAAGGCTCAATTATTCTCCCAGGTCAGTATCTTTTTTTCTGTTTGTTATTAGACTATAGATTTATAACTTTTGCATACCTGGACTAGTATGTCACTTATCATGTGCACCAAAAACTTCACATTTTAAAATATGCTCGCTAACTAGCTAAATTAACATGCATCTAAATATTTAAATTTGTGTTAATGAATTGCAGATGTAGTCGACGAGTCAAGTTCAGATGACGGGGGGTTTTTAGCACCCCGTCCCCTTAGGTATTTTCCCAGGTAAGTTTTTGTCATTTTCATTCTGAAAAATTTAGAAAGTGTAGTTTAAAGAACTGGCAATCTCTCCTCATCCTCCATAACAATTAACAAATCACATTTTGTGCAGATCCACTTCCCGAAGATACAACCTTCTTCCGGGAAGTTTTGTTCCTTCCTCTTCCGTCATTCGACCGGAGCTACTAATTCCAAGACCCTTTGCAAGCTCTCCACTGCCAAGCCGGTCCAGTAGCTACTTTGGACCCACCACTACCGCTGATCTCACCACTTTAAGTTCCGTCTCGCGGTTTCCCGTACTAGTCCAAATCCACCATGATCCCACTGGATCCCACCAGCCCCCTTATTTTTGGAAAACTGCCACAACTGGTCGCTTTCACCCTCAACACCTCCCAGGGGACCCTACACCCCCACCTTGGGTATGCTTACCTAAAACTCGTGTGACTTTTAACAATTATTCTCATTTCAGTGCAACCCAAAGAAATTATGTGCATGTTCATAAAACTTGTGTACACTACTTAATAAATACATTATATTACTATCTTTGCAGGAGGCTGAGAGGATACGAGATAATTTAGCTAGGGATTTAGAATATTTAGAGCGTCAAGTGCCACCATTTCTCCGGCGTCCTTCTCACCCATCTCTCACTACTGGCCAAGAACTATCGTCCTCTGGTCATTTGGAGAAAAGCAGTTCGAGTTCAAGGTTCCAAGGGTTCCAAGATCGATCCACATCGTCAGGATTTCAAAGTGCCAGTAAAACTACATCAACTCTTCCGTCTGGAGGGACTGGCAGTAGTGGGGTGGGCACAGGTCTGGGATCTGGTGGCTCGGGCGGTGAAATTATGCTCAGACCGGGGATGCTCCCATCTTCTCCATTAAGAGATGAGAGCCTTCACCACATGATTGACATATTTTCCGGACAAATGATTCCTCAAGTACCAATTAGAACGCTTCCCCCCAGAACTTATGAAAATTGGCCTCGTAGAGAGTCAACACCCCCAATTTACACCATGGCTCGTTCCCCTTCTTTCGATATTGATGAGGCAACAAGAGGGGTTACAGTGACTGTGCCAGTGTCTGAAGCTTCGCCTGGTCAGAGAACATTAATGGACATGAGTGTAGACGATCCTTATGAGTTTGACCCAGTGATTCCGGACACTTCGCCAGAAATTGCATACCCACAACCTTCCTCCACAGCTTCCACCTCTCGGTTTAAAAGAGGCCGAGATCGAGAACAAGACATGGACATGGAACGTAAGTTATGGTCTTAGGATTAGTGCAAAATATTCATAACAAAATGAATCCCATGTCCTGTTGCTTAACACCGATTCTTAATTTCTATTTGTAAAGGGAGGGTTGCTGCCATGAAAGAAGAGTTTTTCGAGTACCGACGACGTCAAAAGAAGCGCATGGAAAGCGAGTGCTAGCAATAATAATTTATTATGTAATATTTATATTTAGGTAGGAAGAACTTGGAATTATTATTAATGGTAGTATCTGAACAAGACTATTAAGCGTAATTATTTATACCGTACTACATAAACTATGTTAAATAACATACAATAATATAACGAATCCTAACTTACTCGATTTATAATCATCATGACGTGATCTAAATCTTAAGTATTTGTATACAAAACAGTGTGGTTATTCATGTGTAAGTATTTAAATGTATCGTAAAAATGTTGTAGACTCGTGTTGTGTACTCATTCCTCAATTGCAATTTTATAAAAATAACGTCGAGTTTGCTTTCCCCATAAGTGTTTAACCACGATTCTCGATGAATACTTAACGACTGTAGGAATTAACACCCTGAAACTGCAATTGAACAACGTCAGCTCACAATATCCTTATACATGCATACATGAATACTTATGTATGTATATGTACTATGCTAAATATACTATCAGCTTAAACTGGTATCAAAAGAATTATCTAAAATACGAAATTAAATAATGTTTACATTCATTCAGAATCTCAAAATCATTCGTAGTGTTACCAGATTTTATAAACAGAAAAATTAATTACAACTTTATACCACCATCAAACACTCGATAAAATTGTCAGTTTACTAAACACAATTAATTCATCACAAGTTATACTAAATTTGTACAAGTTTCATTGAGTGTGTAAAAATACACGGGTCGATAAAAATCAAATTATATATAGTTAGCTTAATTTTATTTGCTAAGATTAGTCTGATTTTTGCCAACTACATGTAAAATCAAACTATAAACAACGTACGGGGACGTAAATTTATGTGTGCTTTTCTTTTAGAAGAATATGAAGGGATTATTTTATTGACAACTCATTTGCAATATTGCATAAACGATGTGTGCTCAGGCTTAAACAAAATATTAGTATTCTTATTATTATTAGCTAATTAATTACGTATTGTTCACTAGTATGTAGCATAGAAGGGCTGTTACAAAGTTATTATTGAAATTCACTTATTTTTGTCCAAAAGTCACTCAAGGCGTTTATGTGTTCAACCTATTTTGTGTTGCAGCTATATGAAGCACATATAGCTTACGTAGCTAGTGGTATTATTGGAAGGAAATGATTATATTGACAGCTTTATTTATTTGTTACTTGAAAATTCCCAGTGATAAGTAATAATTTATTGTTGCATTATATACAAAGAACTACCTACTTATATACAAATCCTCATTAAACTGTACTGCCATATTGTTTTTAAACCGCATATAATTGTGAAAAAGAAAGTATTTTTATTTGTATTCGTTCTCAGAGACTGATTTAATACTCTGTTAAATTTTAAGCTATTTATAAAAACTTTTCATCAGAAAAAGCTAAACACAAATGCTCACAGGGCCTGATCGGATTATTTGGTTAAAAGCTATTTTAACTGTATTGCAATTAATACATACAACTAGCTTTTAATTTAAACAGTAATTACTGTGGCACTTATTGCTTACGGTGAGGTTACAAAGTTCATTACCAAAGTTTATTCAAATTCATCATCGTATGCATATGTATGTGTGTATTGTATCTCTTACGTAGGTATGTATGCCCAGACCTACGACTGGGAAACTGTAGTAAGAATTGAAACTATATACAATGAAGATAAGAAATTTATGTACACACTTTTACATAATAAATTGAATAGTTGTGTGGAAAATAAATGAGCCCAAACCAAAAATTGAAATGTAAAACCAGACTTTTAGAAATAGCCATATATTGCTAACTTATAAAATTATAACCATAATGCGTTTTCCAAATGAATAAATCAAAAAAGAATTTTGAAGACAACTTAATTAGTATAATGTAAAATCTCGTATTATTAATTACACCTCTGTTCCCTCCACGACCTCGATAATATTTTCTATACTGCTTTTAAGTCTGTCAGCTGAAGGGATTGGGGTTGCTGGTAAATCTGGAATATTATCGTCGTCGACTTTATCACCGTCCAGTGATGCATCGTAATCATGACCATTCGAGGACCCTAATTTACTGTACTGAAAGGTTCGAATTGGTTTTCGTGATCTAATGGGAATAGCGGACAGTGGGGGAGGCTTCTTTTTCTTATATTTTGCTTCTTGATTTTGAGGATATACTTGCAACTTTGGGAGAACAGGGTCGTCAACAGGATTGATGGTTCCCAAATCTTGTTCACTCCCATCCACTTCTGCGATGGGTTCGAAACTGAAAAAATCATTCCTACCACGAATGGAGCCTGGCGTTGGTGTAGTTCTACTTCGTCCTGGCCTAATTTTTCCTCTGGTGGGGCTGGCCAATCCGTAACTGATGCTGTCCAACGCATCAATTTTAGGTTCAGTGCCAATTTTGTTTAGTGAGGCGTTTGAACCTCCATCCACCGTCGTTCTGGGACCCACGGAGTCATAAATCACATTTGCAGGATTCCTACGAGGCAAGGTTGATGTGTATGAAAACATTGAATAACTTGACTCTGTGGGTGACACGGATGGACATCCAGAATCTGATTGCTGTTGTTGTTGAAAAGAATGGGTGAAATTTCTTGGCAGAGTGACATAGCCAGGTCCACCCTTATTCATTTCCCACATGTTTGGGAGAGGCCTGTGCTCTCTGGAAGGAATTCTCATTGTTGCATAAGCTGGACCAGAAAATTGTCGGGTGAGTACAGGTCTTCCGTAATATTCTGGGTGATGAACCAGAGATTGAGAACTTCCCCAAGGCCTCCTTGTAGCCATTCGTAAATGTGCTATTCGAGCGTCATGGATCCTGTTACTGTAAAGTTGTTGAGAATGACCAGGAAATTGTTTTGATGCTGGCCCATTATTGTAAACGAAAGATAATGCACTTCCCGGCCGAGATGATGATGGTTGTTCCTGAGCAGCAAAGAATTGTCGCCGTAAATCTGCACTTTGAGGAGGTCGTGGGGAAAACACAACTGGGGACAAACTTGGGGTGTGGTTAGGGTCACTATTAATTCCTCCTACTCCTTGAGCAACGTCTGGCAGAATAGAATTTCTCGGAGAGGAAACCTCAGTAACATTCGTGTTATTTTTCATAGCGCTTGATAATAACAGAGGAACCGTGGAACTGTGATTTGGTTGTTTAGGACTTGCGAATGTGTCATCTATTATAATTTCTGAACCCTGTAATAAATTAGTTATTTATTAATTAATTACTTGGATTTACTTTAGTTTGATTTGAAAATCTGCGTACAGTAAGGCTTGGATAGAATGTGTATATAAATATGAACGTACCTTGAATTTATCTAGCATTTCTTGCCTATATTTTATCTGTCGTTGGTTATCTCGTTTTCTCCAAATCAGGATGCACACCGTCACTAATGCAATAAAGAGCAGTATCAAAACTGCTATCAAAATCCACAACCAGGTTCGACTTCCAGCTTTGGTTACAATGATGACATCACCGTTAACCTCCTCTTGTGGAACATTGGTAAAATTGAAATATACTTTTTTATCATCCTGTCCTTCAATGTTGTTTGCAATGCACTCATAATCTGCTTGATGCCGACTGATGTTGTAAATGGTTAACAGCTTAGTAAATTGGTATTGAAATTCAGTCCTGGTCACATCGGAAGTTTTGGCGGTCACATCCATGATTTTATAGTGGAAGTCCTTTTCCACGTCATTTTCATTAGAATTTTCAGAGTTTTCACCAGTGTGTAATCTACCATAATCATTAGTAATTGGCCTTCCATTCCTCATCCAAATTATGTTTGGTTCAGGAAATGCATCAACGGCACACTGAAGCCCGATATCTCTTCCTGCTTCATAGTAGATAGTGAGATCACCACTAGTGAGTTCTGCATTGTCACCTTGAGTTAAAATTTCAGCCGCACCAAATGAAGCAATTCCTGTTATCTGAGGATGACATGTTAACGACTCTTGCGGAATAGCACTTAATTTCATGTTTGCAAATTTTTCTGGCCCAGTGCATACCACACTATTTCCAATATTGATTTTCCTATCGGACAAATATGCTTGGAGAAAGCGCGTATGACAATCGCAATGCCATTCATTACTATCCAAATAAATATGAGTCAATGAATTTAAATTTTCAAATGTATTCCAGTCCAACCGACGTAATCTGTTAGATCTCAAATCTAAGTCTTGTAATCTCGTCAATTTCTTGAAAGCGGTAACTGGGACTTTGCCAATCTTACAATCGCTAAAGTCAATTTTTTTAAGACTGGGCAATTCAGTAAATTGGGATCCCATGAATTGATGAATTTTATTTCCACTCAGAAATAAATGTTGTAGATTATTGTTGACTTCAAATGTTTCCAAGTTCCACGTGTCGATATTATTATTTCTGAGATCGATTTCTACGACTGCATCCAAGTCTCTGAATGCGCCTCGTTCTACTGTACGGATTTGACAGTTTTGCAGTTTAATAGCTTTCAAATTAAGTAAGTCGGCATTCTTAAACTCGTCACTTTTAACTGTTTGCAAATGATTTCCTTTATTGCTCATGTCAAGAACGGTTATTGGTCCGCTCTCGTGGTCGAATTTACTGTCGTCATTTGCAGTTGGAATTCTCGTATGTCCTTCACAACTGAGAATTATATGTCCATCCGAAAATTTTCTCATGCACGAAAATGTTCTTGGTTGTGCTGCCGCTGGAAGAGTGTCTCCAACGGTTAGGGACCGATTCAAAATAAAAATATAAAAACAAAACAAAACACTCGCAGACACGGCCATGTTGACAAATTAATAGTTTTTTAAAGTAAAGTTGATCATTTTATTTCGAGATTATGTAATGTGCAAAGGGTATTGAAATAGTTACAATTGTTCTTTAAAAAAAATATTATACATATAGCAGAGAACTGATTTAACCGTGTTTCTTTGGATGAGAAAGTATGTGTAAATCGTACAAATGGTATCGAGTCATGATTACTTTGCTTATCACAACTAATAGTATCATGCTGATAATAGCTTCGTCATAACTAAATGTGCTGGTCTGTAGCGAAGCGATAAGCGAAGGTAACACAAATATCATAACGGCCTACGGGTTTACAACGGATATAATGTTTGCTTGGACCAAACATGCAACAAAGGGTATGATTCATATCCTGATTTACAGTCGTTGTCAATAAATTTCAGAGATTAAAACAATACATAATACTGAAATATAATTTAGTTAAGCATTTTTTCATATCAACGCCCACTCCTATTTTATTGCATATCATGAAATAATATGAGAATGCAGAATGAGGGAATACCTAGTTGAATTGCTTTCGGACAACTTTAAAATTTTTAAAGTTTCAAAGTCTTTAAACTTTCTTTTAGAATAATGCTTTTATTAAATAAGCAAAAACCGCAGACCTGTTTTGTTACAGAATATTACTGATGCCATATGTCGGTTATACCGCAACTTCGAAACATGTCTGTTCAAGTTGTATCTGTTTAAGTTGATAACATTTATTACTAAATGCATTTTGTCTGGTTAATATTTTAAAGATAATTGATTATTGTATGTTAAGGTATGGTACAATTCCCGATATGTATTTATGTGCATACCTGTATATTTATTTATTACCAGTTGAATGTTTTCAATACGCCTGCATGGATTTTCATTTTCCAACGTTATTATGCATAGTTGAATTACCTATGTATGTTAGATCTAGTTCAAGATGAAGGTGACTTTCTGGTCGCAAACTGGGTTCTGCTATGTACTTCGTTCCGATTTTAATGCATATGTTTATAATAAGAATTGATTGCAGATTGCAGCATGATGGGACAAATAATAGATAGTTGTATATGCAACCCGTCCTGGACAAAGGTAAAATAAAAGCTAACCAGTCCACGATGGGCAGTAATTACGTGAGTGAGCATTCATATATTTCGCAATACTTGCTCAGTAGCTCATTGTACAAATGTTAATTAATGCAGAACTCCATCTACTCTTTTTCTTTTAGGCATTAATATGATGTGTATTTTGACAAGATACTGACAAAAAATCAGTTAAGCACCCATATTTCCTCACATTAAGAAAGTTTTGTATCTTTCATATGAAGTAGTTTATGCATGTATCTACATCTAATGCATCCATAAATTAAGGCATGGTAAAACATCAAGCATTCATTCCCACGTGTAACCCTTTCTCTAGGCTATGAAATGACTATGCACAAGAGTCCAGTCTTCATAAGACCATCCATCCGATATAAAGCAGACCACATGATATTTAATAGTTTAGTCTGATATTGCAAGTCATTTCACCGGTTGGTGTGCATTTATTTTATCGTTACGAGAAACTCTATCGGTTTCGATTTTATTTTTCCAGTAAACATTTTTAACAACCTTTTAACTTTTTGACAATTTTTTTATTCTATGACATTCCATTATATTACACGTCAGAAACTTATTTTAAAAAGTGAAACGTAATCTGCAGCTAAATATTTAATTTAACATGAAAATTACGTGGTGCGCCTCACTTGTGTTATTACTTGGACTAGCATCCTTCAGCCATGGGGCTAACATCTTGTTTTATTTTGGAGTGTCAACTTATAGCCACCGCATCACAGCTTGGCCCCTGGTATCCAAATTATTGAAACATTTGCATTTAAACGTAACTTTTCTCAGCACTGAAAAAATTCAAAGGATTGAAATACTTTTCAGGTAGAAGCTCTTGTAGAGAAAGGCCACAAGGTAACTTTCCTTCAGGCCGCGGAAAACAAGAATCCCAATCCAAAAGTAGAAGAGCTTGTTCTCAATGACACCGTGTCCGTGGGGGCGATGGATTTCTTGGACATGAAGCTAAAGTTTGGAAGCATGATGATGCCGATTCTAGTTCACATGCTGCCAGAACTCGGGGACATGGCATGTCGTGCGACCTTAAATGACCCTAAAATGCTGACATGGATAAATTCTCACAAGGTGGATGTGGTTGTGATCGATAGTCTTTTCAACGATTGTGCGCTTGGACTCGCGTACAAATGGAATGCACAAGTGGTCATATTTGGAACAAGTACCGTTTTCGAATGGTGGGCTGACGACTATGGGTTTCCCGCGGAAACTAATTGGATTGCGGACACGCACTTCGGCCAGAATATGCCGCTTTCCTTTCTGGGAAGAGTGTTTTCTACGCTCATGACTCTACATATGAGATTAATGAAGAATGTTTTTTTGTATCCGAGACTGGAAGTAATGCTGAAAGAGAAATTAAATATGCCGGAGATGCCATCCCTGGCAGAACTGAACTCTAAACCCAGTTTGGTGCTAATGAACACCCATTTTAGTGAAGAATTGGCCCGATCTCTACCTCCCTTGATAATTCCGGTTGGGGGCATGCACTGTACTGATAAACTCCAAAAAATTCCCCAAGTAATTATTGCAGTCGTCCTCAAAGCTTTACATACTTCTATTAAATATGTTTATGAAAATGTAAGTACAATGAAATTGGTATTATTTGATGCATAGGACATGGAAAAATTCATTAACGGATCTGGTCCAGAGGGTTTCATTTACGTTAGTTTTGGGAGTGAAATAAAAGTAGTAAGCGGTCCGAAATATGTGCGAGATGCATTTTTCAATGCGTTCAGAAATTCAAAGGCACGTTTCATCTGGAAATGGGATGGACCAAGGCCTGATGATATGCCACCAAATATATTTATTGCCTCTTGGATCCCCCAACAGTCGCTTTTGGGTAATATTGAAAACCTGGCAATAAGAATTTGTACCTGACAATACTTGGCATAATTATGTAATTAACCTTTTACAGCACATCCTGCAATAAAAATCTTTATCACGCATGGGGGACTGTTAAGCATTCAAGAAGCCTTATATCATTCTGTCCCAATGATCAGTTTTCCCGTTTTCGCTGAGCAAGATTACAATGCTGAGAGAGTCCACCGAACAAAACGTGGAATACGACTTGAAATCACATCAGTCACTCAAGAACAAATTGAAGGAGCAGTACATGCAATTTTGACTGACGACACGTAAATTATGACACGATTCTAATATATAAGTATCGGGTTGAATTTGTATGTACATAATTTCTGTAAACCTACTTCAGGTATCGAAAGAACGTGAAAACCGCCTCAAGACTATTTAAAGATCGGCCTCAGAAGCCTGTCGAAACGGCCGTGTGGTGGATGGAGTACATCATGAGAAATAAGGAGGATGCGAGTGTCCTTCGTCCTTTGGCCGTGACGCAGTGGTGGTTCCAGCGTCGATCATTAGATGTGTGGGCTTTTATTTTTTCAGTCATAGTGTTAAGCTTTGTTTTATCCATTCTTGTGTTTAAAAAATTATTGTCATGTTGTTGCGGAAAGAAGGAAGCCAAAACTAAGATAAAAACAAAATCCAAGAAACAGTAAAAAAAAATACCTTGTTAAATTCCCCTTCTGAAAAAAAAGAGGGAATCACAATTTATGGCAGTTAAAAAATTATTGATCAGAGTTATATCATGTTTTAAAATTCTCATTGTTATTGTCTGATTTGTTATTTCGGGTAAACACAGTATTAGAAAAATCAATAAACAGAGTATGTATTTATGTATATACCAAACCCTCACGCACAAACTGTTGCATTTATTTGCTCTCATTAATCCCGAATATTATATTTTTGTGATTTCCCGAAAGTGGTCATTACGTCTTTTGAAAATTTTCTAATGCCTGCGGACCAATAAAAAATTGTCATTACATGAACTATGATATTATAGAAAACTAGCAGTATGGATTTTCTTGCTTGGCTTACTTTTTATTGCAGACATTTCCTGTACGACCGTTTCATTCAAAATGGAATCAGATCTGCGACGCGAGTGATCTTTCCCACATTTGCAAAATATTTTGACAAAACTATCTCTAAAGCTTTTACCATATGCACAATAAATTAAGTAGTTTACGGCCGAATTAAACGAAACAAGAAAATCTGTTAGAGCTACAAGCTCGCCGTACGTTGCATTAAAAATGTTTGTAGTGAAGCTATTAATAACTCTGAAAATGTTACAAATTACATAAACTAAGACCACAACAATAAGCATATTTGTTAATTTTATTTCTTTCAGTTGATTTTGGGTCAAAGTTTCTCGTTTCGCATTTTTGGTGTGAATCTGGAAATCAAAACTCAATTTTTAATAAAAACTAAATTCGACTGACTTAATCCTGCCTAAGCATGCTTACCTTTCTCACAATAATTACATTAGCCAGAATTACGGCTATAAGTGGAAATAAATAGTGGACTACCACATAAATTCCAAGTCGAAGGTGGTTGACATATTCTGGAATGTCAGTTGGAGGTAACGACTGACAGCTAAGATTTGTCTCATGAAAAACCTCTTGTCGTTGAGATGTTGTGTAAAACATTAAGGAATTGCTGAGAATTGAAAATATTCCGATCCCAACGGATAAGCGCTTCGAATTCCTGTAGGTACAAAAAGACCTCGATTCCAGGGGCCAAATCACGGCAAATAATCTTTCACCGGTGATCGCCACAGTGAAATAGGTTGATCCAAGTTGAACTATACTTGAATAAATGTTCGTTTTTAAAGTTACATTCGTATTTCTTAAACAAAATCGATATGTAAACAGACGTACCACTTTGTAAAATCGGGTAAATAATTTTCTTCGGAACGCAGATCAACCTTAAATAACTTGATCCGATTTGGAAGTACTTTAATAGTATTGGGAGTCCCTTTACAATAATTAGTAGAACACAAACAAACAAATCGCACAGGGACAAGGCGATCAATAACACAGTCAGCGAGGCGTGTATTTTTTTCTGCGACAAAACAAAGATGCTCAAAATGTTTCCCAAAACGCCAAAAAACGCCACTGCAGTTAATAGTACGCCTGCAAGTACGAACTGGAGAGTTGCGCTGGTCGATTCGTCAAAAATATTGACGAAACCAAATTCATTTACGGCATGATGACTATTGTTTAACAGTATTTCGTGTTCTGATGAAATATTGAAAATATCCAGGAATTCTTCCTCTGAATTGAATTCTGAATAGTTTGCACTCATTTTGAAGTTCAAAACTTGAACAGCTAAGTAAAAATGGTGGACACGGAACTACTGGGCACCGAAATGGTGGGCACGGAAATAAACAACCTTATGTCCCACGTCATTGCTTAGCTGATTCTACTTATGCATTCACTAAATCAAATCAGTGAAAGATCAAGAAGACGAAGATGCCATGTCAATTGATTGTGCAGAAAAACAAACACAATTGGATACTATTAATACAGACGTATCTATGCTTGAACAACAGGTCCCTGTTTATTGGGAGACCATCACAAATATCTATGTACATGCATACCCATACTTTCATACTGCTTAAGAATCCTACAAATCTAAGAATTGGCAGTGGAAGATTTTTGCTTTGTGAGCAATGAAGAATAATATAAACGTGTGTATGTCATATGGCATAATAATTAAAAACCATACTACATAATCTGAACCGGTTTTCTGTTTAGTATTCATTTGCAGTTTCATCTCTTAACAATAAGACAAACCATGCAAAATCGCAAAACCAAGAAAATCATATATATGTACATATGTGTGTAAGACCTGCAGTGTTAACATGGACAAAGAAAAGACTGAGGAGATACATACATGCATACATAAGTAAATATATTACAGTGACGTACATATGTAATGTCCATCATATTCTACCAATTACTTATGTATAATACGACAATTGTCATATTATACTCTGTCATACAGGCTTTGTACTTTTTGACATTGTTTCTTTTTGCATTTCATGACTTTTTCATAGCCTCTTCACGACTTTATGTCATGATGGATTAATGATAAATAAAGAATCGTCATTGCTTGATCTTTTAATAAATATCAATTGAAAAAATTTCTAGAAAGTTGGCTTGCATTAAATATTATCATTTTATTACTTGCTACATACTGATACGCAAGATAATGGGCAAATTAATCTTCGTGTACCACCGCCGCTGGTCTGGCTGCTTTACGAGTTTTTGACTCCCACATAGGCAAGATGTTTAATCAAGGCAATTAATAATAATTATATTAAACCGATGCTACCCTCTTGGGGAAATTTGAAAATGATTTGATGACTGAATGAACACACTAATGAATGATTCGTCACTTACATATTACGCGATTTTATACCCGACAATGATGATGGTAAGGGCATGAAATAGTTGCAAGGAATGCATGAAAATATCAAGGAGATATTAACCAATCAATTGATACTTGAACTTGATACTCATGTTGGAATAGAATTATATCATCTGATATGTTATCAAATTGCCAGTCTACACAATACAATACAATACTAAATTATACTTGATCATGTCTTTTAATTGCAGGAAGGTTACACGGTACGCACGGTTCTGAATATTTATTGTGGTCCCTGGGCGAATGGGGATTCTGCATTGGAGTCCAGAAAATAAATTCCACTAGCACTAAATTGAAAGAAAAATATGTCAACCTCCAGGGTCATGGCAAAGTTTTAAAAATTATATAAGAATGATGCTTACGAAGAAGGAGTATGGTGACCCATTTCTTCATGTGGATTGCTATCACAGTCACCGTTTTTGTATTTTTCGTAATCTTCACATGGGCGACCAAGGAACTTTACTTGAGAAAATACAGACTCGATAAACATCGCTGGGGCTCGACCATGGGCGCAAGCACCTAAATTGACATATTTTGAATAAATGATGATTTCATCAAAATGACGAAAAATATGGAAAACCTAACCAGTTAAGTCAACCCCACAACCTGGCTGATATCTGCACTTACACAGTAAAAATATTAATTAACAAAAATAGTAAGTATTTACTAAATTGGTTTATTTATCAAGAATTTGTTCAATCACCGTCCGCCGTTGGGATACCTGTGTAATTTAATATGGTATTGAGATTTCGTATAATATACTATAATTTAGTGTAATACCAGTCAATGTGACCAATTGGATCCCAGAATCCTAATCAAACATGTTCCATTAAAGATTTATATCGACGAATTTTGATTCCCGAGAAACGAGCGAAAATCTTACCCAAAAGTCCATTCGCAGCCGTATGCACCACATCAACGAACAAAGCATCGTCCAATGTTGTGCGATTTGCTGGATCTGCGACGTCAAATAATGGGAGTGCGGGGTCCAGGGCTAAAAAGTAGTTTATTATATATTAAATATATTGCAATTTGCTTGTCAATAGTTACATCTTGTGTCAAAACCTACACGTAATGCGACTGACAATGCCTGACATTTGCTTGATATGATTTCCAACTTGTCCAACAACCTGACCTCCTAAGCTGTATCCAATTAAATGGACTTTATCCCAAGTAGTTTTTTCAAGGTCCACCAAAAACTTTAATAGTTTCGCAGCTTCAGCACTTGCAATCTGGGCATTTGCGACGGCAGTAAAATAATCAGGGGCGGCGGATAGAATTGACCAGTTCATAATGATCACGTTGTAAGTTTCCTCCATGGTATCTTTGACGTATTCTATTTTAGACACAAACCAAATGTGCACTTTACTGATACTCCAATTATAAACTATTTATTGAAAAAAGTAAGAAAGTATTAACCGCTTCGAAGATCCTTCGGAAATGAAGATCTGTCCACGTCAGCACCAAATCCATGAATTAGTAATTTTACAGGAGCCCCATCAATAAAATTTGATTGGTCAATGGACTCAACATTGTCGGCAAATATTTCGTCGTGCGTGTCTTTATTGTTCCTGCATAGTGAGAAATATTGTACTTACGAATTGATACGTTACTTTTATTTTTCAAAATTGTATTTTGATTGTACATACTTCGTATAGAGCATGAAATGAATATCTTCAGGGTTGCCGGCCATGGCGCCAGGTGAGGGTGTCAACTGGGCCGGGATCAACGTCCCATCGCCATTGGGATTAGGAAACCAAACGACATCTTTAGAACTATCGATGCTCTTTGAATATCCAAGTGCAATTAGAGCAGCAAGCACAAAAAATCCAAGATGTTTGGACATGATGGTTGGTTCAGTAGAGTATGAAAATTGAATACTTGTGATGAATTGAAGCAAGTAGACGTGCTTTTATTACTCCTAAATTTAAAGTGATTCTGCTGTCATTTTGCGTTGATGAGGTGAGACATTAAAGTTGCGACATATTAGTGTTATCTAAATTAAAAACCATGTCGGATAACACATGTCACTCGAGTTGCATAACAAAGAATTCATACATGCCGAGCTACATATGAATGTAAGTAAACCGTTATACCGAGTCATGCAATTATAATTTATAGAACAGTTCTACCGATATTGTAATTGGTCTGTTTTTGCCACATTTTTTGTCTTTCTAAAAATTATGGAAAATAATTTTCTAAACCAAATCATGGTTCGATGTCAAATTCCGAGCATAATGAATATATAAATTGGTGTACCACGAACAATTTATTTTTTATGGGGTGTCATTTTAAAGGAAATTTCGCCACGATTTAAACGCCATCAATATCTATGACCTCATGACCTCACGGTCATGAGGTCATACATGGATTAGCGTTAAAGGAAATTGGAATCGCTCTGACGCTACTTATTTACAGATATATTCGTTTGGAGGGTTTATTTTACTTCCACTAATGGACAATCCTAAATAGTAAAACGGATACAAAAAGAATTATAAAAATTGCAAACACTCATCAGAGGGTTAAAGTCTTATCACATCATGATTCTGAGTATACTATACATAACACACAAGGATACGTTGATACAATAATTGATGACGATTGATGTAGATGAATATTTATTTTTCAGATAATTTTGATGAAGTATAAATTGTTAGTTGTGATCGACTGCTATAGTTGAGTTATTGGAGAAGCTGGGGTCTTTATCTGTAAGATTGGCATTATCATTATGACTGCTATTTTCGGAAGGTACTGGAAGTGGACTTTGTTCATGCTCGCAGGAATCATTAGGATTTGCAGGGATCGCAGAAATGCCAATGTCGGGTTTGATTTTGCAAAACGTGAGGGTGAAGGAGTACAAATACAGACAACCCGTGAGAGCTGTTAGAATCTGAAATTGAACCGAGTCTTTCGGTCAATTAATTTGGCCAAATATTGTCTTCTTCCAGTATAAATAATTAAGTTCCAGTACTTACAAACATTGTAAACTCAAATCCAAATTTAGATGAGGACATTTCTCCCTTGGAAGTGTTTGATTTGCAATTTTGTCTCTGATCTGGAGGGGTCGACGGTGTGCATTCCGGACTGGGAAGTCCTGCATAAGTTATTGAAATAATAACTGTAGAAATGAATATAAGGAGAAGGAAGCTCGTGATGTAGTACACCCTCATCTGATGATCACGTAATCATAGAAAGTGAAAACACGAACAGCATGAGAAAGTGTGAAATAACATTATAATTAGGTATGTATCTTACAAAATGAGGCGACAGTTTACATCCCGAAACTTTGACGAGAACTATAATTTGAGCCAAGAAGCCCAACGTGTTGATCATGACGTACCAAATAAATTCACCAATTCGATAACTAGTGCTATCTTCTTGCAGGTAAAACCCTGTACCCTCCATTGCAAAATGAATTATGTTACAGGATATCTGTTGGACAAAATAATATTGCAGATCAAATTCTAGTTTTGCATATGGATCCAGTTCAATATTGATGTAATCTTTTGTACGATTTGCAAAACATCAAGAGCCAACCGTAGATTTAGAGAAGTCGAGCAGAATTTTTTCTTCCAGTCCATTATCATTAAAGTTGATGAGCAAAAGAATACAATGAACGTGAATAAATGTTCAGAATTTTATCAATTGAGACGGTGGTGAGGTGAAGAAGTTGCCAAAAAGTTTTATAATGTAGAAATAATACACAATACCGAAATATTTGATAATATCATAAGCAATAAACAGACGAATTTACGTAGCGGAACCTGTGCATTGCACGGAATGATCACACCATGGAAATCATAAACAAAGATTCACAAAAAGACATTTGGCAACTAGGCTACGTTGCTCATGCTCCATTACTCCCAAGTCATTGAAAAGGTCAGGTCAGGTTATAAAATCACAAAGGTACGGAAATGTCAGAAACCGCTGTGCGACTTTCACTAATGTAAAATTTGAAATTAATGTTATTTACAGCCATGTCGTTTGTGGTCATTCAACTCCTGAAGAAATATATGTACACATATATCATACCCAATGTTTTAAGAATTTATGAAAAATATGCACTTTTGAAGAAATATTTTTAATAATATTTAATTGGCAAACATTTTGTTGGATTTGCATAGAGTTTTAATAATTAGCCTTACTAAAAAGTAGGGAAATGTAGAATCCATTCAGGGATACATATCAACGTCTCACTACAGCCAGTAGGCATTTAAATTTAAATTATTCATAACGGCCAACCTAGGAATGGAATTTGCCTTCGTCCATTTCCGGTCTTGAAATGAACAGCTCACAAAAAATCTAAATTTGTTCCATGCATTAATCGGATATACTAAAAAACACTACCGAGTCCACCACAAACGCCAGACTACAACGAAACATGCAGACACTTAAGGTCTCCTTCCACAAAGAGATATATTTATACATGTAACAACGACTTTTATCTCATGTACAACAAAACAAAGATTGATGCTGCAACCGATGCAATTTAAACTCCAGTGACCAGATGGCATATTCCAACCCAAGTGAATTAAACAACAGATGTACTCACATCTACTTTAGTGAATGAGTTGATGTCAGCTTCTAGATTTACGTCATTAGGCGTGATAACTAAGATTGAAGAATTTAATTCATAAAGTAATGAAGAATGGAAATAAATATACATACATTTCATCATTGCACAGACAGAATCAATATTTTTAACCATAACTAGATTGGACTGAGTCATGAAAATTCAAACAGAATACATGATGATTCGAGTGAAATTCAACTCAAGATGAATAGATACATATACTACGTATATATAAATAAGCAAGAGTAAACCGGCCATCATTAATGCCGACTTTCAAAATTGTATAGTGAGTCTGGGTATGCAAGGATATGTACATACGTATGTACGCGACTATGTAGTAGTACGTGTATTAGATGAGCATTAATGCATTATGTATCTAATACCTGCTGGATTAGACCTGGATGAAAGTTGTGGTAAAAAGTCAGATAAGTACCCTTTTTCTTTGAGCCGACCTTCGAGGCACCTGCTTCCCACAGGAAACGTCGACCGAGCGTAACCTCCTTTTCTCTCAAGTTCCCACACTCATCTATTCCTCTCTCCCGTACGTAAAATGAGACGGACATGAGCACGTAAAATCAACCAGTAATTCTGTATCTTCTTTGGTTTTATGGCCATCCGTGATGCACAGTTGAACGAATTGTCTCTCTAATTTGAAGGAACCTTTTCCCAGGGTTAACGTAACATTTTCATTTAATTAAGCGCAAAACTTATTGCAAGAAATGCTCATGTGCTTGTCAATATTTTACTTTAGTTGGAACAATGGCAAATAAATAATTAATCCCGAGTGAGATTGGCGGAGTTTGTTGATTAAGAAAGTCAATTAGTCATCAACTTTAATTTGTATCCCAACTGTTGTATGAAAGCTTGAAAGACTTATTGATACGATGAATGCAATAATAATACCAACGTTCTGTTGATAAATAATTTAAATGTGAGTCTCATATTTGAATTGTGAATTATTGTATCAATCTATGTATTTATGTACACACATATGCATATACATACAGCTATTTACTTCTAAGGTCTTCTACAATCAATGAATTATGCAAAAGTAGTAAATATTTGAATCTGGCTTCTGTAAGATTTGACTTTAGTTCATTCGTGAATCAAACATCTCCAAGAAATACCAACACTCAGCCGTTTGTCCGATAATACGTATTTATGAGTTGCCCACTGAGAAAATTGAAGTCAATTATCATTTCCTTCGTGTGTGGGACGTGGGAAGTTTACTTTGGGTTGACAGTAGTTTTGAGAAAATTAGAAATCGTCGTGGCCTCCGTACTTCCGGAAGTTACTGAAACTCTTTCTTTGCATTCTTTAATTGTGTGAACGATGGAATTCTCCCCATTAGTTTGTTATACTAATGCTCCCAAGATTTATAGTTTACAGTTGTGTTTCTTGGACATTTACATCATAAAATATCAACCCAGCAGTGCACCCGACTCAAGTTCACTCGAGGTACAATTCCCTTGGTTGCATTGCATGCAATCTGCTCCCAGATTGTGCACAACCAAATAACATTTTTGTGTTAGGATAAACCTTGAACCAAAATATAGAGCTTGCAATGTGCTAAAAACAACAAACTTGTGTCGATCATCAGGCATAAATATTATTGTAATTCCGCTTCCTCCTACGCTGGATAGTATAACACGGTGTATTTGGAACAGCAAAGGAAGTGATCATTCCTTCTCAACTGACTCCATTGAGAAAAGATGAAGGAACAGCTCGGCAGCAGATATTTTAAGATTTATTACTCTACACCGATGCAAAATCTTTCACTGCATCTGACATTACCCCACCACAATAATTGGGTTCAATACGTTCTAAATAAGCATTTTGCAACCACTACATACTGTGGCCCAGAAGACCCTTTACCACAAATTGTTGAAAAATTTCCCATCATCTCAACCACTACGCAATGGGTGTAATTGTGAGAAAATGACATCATCCAACTCCGGAAGTTTGAAATTTTTTTCAATTCAGATGATTGCAGTTGACAAAATTGCAAGCGTTCTCAGCAATCAAACCAATTTGGCTATTAATTGAGCTTATTTACGATGCTCGTGATCATGACACACCATGAATGACATGTAAATCCAAATCGGTATATGATTCCAAAACCATGTCTCCGCTAATCTTGACGACGAAAAATTTCTCGGAAGATATACTTTCTGACGGGCAAAAACTAAGTGCGAAAAACTCGGAAAAATTGGCAAATGTCCTACTAATACATATTGCGAATTGAAATAGAAACTAGTACAACTCTCATCTATTCAATGTGTGGGTACACATAATATACAGCAAAGCGGATCAAGCTATAGCCATGAATTATTGATGAGGTGACTTGCAAATCTTTTCAAATATAAATCTAAAGAATCCCAACATGATTTACATTCTGCAGAAATATTTACTGAATAAGTGCATTGGAATAATAAAAAGTGGAGTTTACGAAATTCAAAAGCATTCCTATTTTACTACCACCTTAATTATTATATAGCACAAGTGGTCTAGATAATATTGCACGCGTTGTTATTATTATTAATTTTGTAAATAATGTATTTCAATGTTCATTCCAAGGCATATTTTTTCTACGCCTTGCGCAAACTAGATCTGTGAATCTAAAAAGAAGCGTCCATATAATAATAATTACCTCGTCCTTTGTCGAGGTAACCCAATATTAGATGCGTATGTACAATTAAATTATACGGTTTCAGAAGCTTGTTGTATGCCGCATTATAATATATGCATATTAGAACCAGTAGAAATTATATTTCACAATTTGGCAAAATCACTAGTTTCACTTACTTCTGCACTTTAACATTATGAAAAGTTCCACTTGTTCAAGAGGGAACCGCATAAGCGGAGATAAAGCTGAAAATGTAGCTGCAATTTCAAAATGAATGATGGAAATTATGTAATTGAAGGTTGTTAGCGATTCTTCTGGGTGGGTAGCGAGCGGCGAGGAGGATGAGAATATATATGTAGCGAGTTGCTGGTCGGAGGGAGCTCAGTTTTGATGTGGGCGATCAGAGAGAAGCATCGCTTTCATTCTTCTTCCCAGTCTCAACTTTCCTCCGTCTCTTTCACGAAGCTACTAAAACCTACTCAACGATTCGCATCGATCGACAAGTTTTTATCGAAAATTTTATCAAATACAAAAAGAATTACCCCATAAATCTCCAGTGTTTTAACATTCACCAGATATTCTCAAGCAGGAATATATTTGAGGTGTCAACGACGGAAAAACCCAACGTGAGACTTGAGCAAATATTAAAATATTTATTACTAATTCCAGAATACTCTTTTCTCAATACATTGTTAAAGTGAAAGTCATTTTTTTTTAAACAGGGCCAGGATGGGACGATATCCGACAACTTCAGCAGGAGATCCACATGATCAAGATAACACCCACCTCGTCCACCAAGTATCTCAAATGCAAATCCCTTGTTTCTGTTCCAATTTGCAACAGTGGCGAATTTAAACATTGCCAAAAGTCTGAATCTTTTAAACCTTGTCCTCCTCTCCGTTTGGCACATGTTCAAAAAAACAGCATTGGGGACGTGAGCGTGAGTAATGAATCTCATTTTCTTCTAGATCGGTTTTGAATCTTGAGGAATCAGTCCTATGCCCTTGCCGGGGTTTGGACGTTCTGGGCTGTCCTCCGCTACAGAAAAATTGTGCAAATTTTCCTGGACCTGAGTTATTCGCTTGTTTGAAGGTTTCATCGGAAGGGGACCTACATAACTTCGAGTAGGATTGTCCCCATCCGTGTATAGGATTCTGTAACTATTCGTTCATCTTCATCATCAGTGACAAGTCAAATCATTTATTATTTCAAGAGTTTAAAGTTTCCACTTTGCAAAGTTATTGAAATTAGCAAAGGGACGTCTTCAAGAAGAAGAATTCGAACGGCAAACTTAATCCGATTAACTTCATTAAGTTTTAAAACTTTAATGACAAAGTTTGTCTTTTATTGAATTACTTTTGGTGAATTAGGAATCAAGCACGTCAAACTGTTTGATGAATTAATCGATTGCTTCACTGTTAAAAAGTTCTTTGGAAAAGAACAAAAATTATGAAAGTGCAGTGCAACTGAACTCGCAATTAATTACACTCAAATGAGTGAATAGTTGTCAGCAGTTTTGTTGAGTCGAGTCACATTTCATCCAGATTGGGTTCGAATTTATAGTGAAATCTGGTGAAGATAAGAGAAGGGAACAAGTGACAGTTTGCAGTTGGAGTATAATAATTAAGAGAAAGAGAGAGATAGAGAAAGTTTGCTAAAAAACTAAAGGATCCAGTTCCAGCCTGAAGATGAACCACTCTTGGAAAATGTCTCAGTATTACTTGCTCGTCGTCTTCGTCCTCTGGGATGTAATTGGAACTCTTAATTCAGGTTAGTTGAACTCAATCATCAATTTAACTTTGTTTGATGCTACATATAGCCAAAGTTGACGCATATACAGATAAGTACATATAAATACATTTTAAACCTCGGTGGTGTGTTATTTTCCACTACGGCGACGACGATGAGGACATGATTTAATTCTAGGAGTGATGAATGCAATACGTATTTAGTTCGCTCACTTGTTTATGAATTTGTATGTAAGTTTTCAACACAATGTTAGCGAAAGGTTTATGCGAGATTTTCAATCTGCACTCTTTTATGTACAGAAATGTACATTACACTTCACTTTTATTAGCCCACTAGCACCTACTTTTTGGTCGATAAAAAAATGAAAGATGAGACTCGTGAATTAGTTTCGCTATGTAACACTTTTTTGTTTGTTGTCGCCAATCACCAATTTGGTTCGTTGTGTTTTAGAGGTGCAGTTTGTCGGAAAGATCCTTTTTTTGAGCGACGCTAATGCAATCTAATGTAAATAAGACTATTTTATAGTATCAAGCAGTTCACAAACAAGAGGAGTAATCTAGTCCAGTCAGCCGAACTGCTATCTCATCTTTAAAAAAATACCATCCTAGTTTCATTTTATTCTATTCATAAAATTGGAGAGATAAGAAGACTGCTTTGTCTCATTTAAAGACATTTATTTATCCGAAATCTGAATTAGCTGCATAATTTCTTAATACAGGATTTCATTTAATCCGGAAGATAAATGCATATAAACATATTTAAGTGGCACTGTACAAAATTGGGCAAATTTTCCACAGTCCGTACTTTTATCCATGCACAAGTTTAGCAACAATTCACAAGAGAACACTATACTGAGCAATGTATGAGACATAAGTAGCCGACAGTTTTGAATTATGAATGGAAAGAGATAGTTAACGGTCCTTTGTATGCAGTGAAGATTGCAGCAGCGCGTGTAGAATTTGGCATAGGACATAAATATCGAGAAAACCATCTGTTTTCATTGAAAAATATGCAATGTTTTCTAGGTTAGTTGGCGACTGGGGAGCATGAGCTAGGCACAAGGAAGGCAAGTGTTTGAAGCATAAAACTAAAAGATTTAGATGGAATTGGAGCCAAATAAATTATATTATTGGGGATACCAACCAAATTGTTTAGTCCTATTACCATGATTATGCTGGATGTGGGACTGCTCGTGGGAGATGGCACGATCCCACCAAAATAATATCAAGAGCAGATGTCGAAATGGATTTTAACGAGCCCAGAACACAATTGAACTTTTATAGGGATTTACATTCCACGTCAATATAGGTTAAACTATTAAAACAACACACAAACAAAAGTTCGGAATTTGCCAAAATTTGGAATTTTCGAACCGAATATATTCTAAAACTTCTTAAATTGCATTGAAAAGGTTTCTTGCTTCAAACCATCAATTTCTATGTACAGTTGGATGTAAATATATGCATGCACGATACGACGGAGCTGACTTATTTTGACTGAAATTAAATAGAATTGTCCATTTTATTTGCATTATATCAAGACGATGCTTCCAGAGTGCTAGTCGCACGATAGGACATACGTTCCATGTGCCTATGCCTGTATAAGCCCACGTACTTAGGAGGAGAGTACGCCAACCTGATAATGACAGATCTTGATGTCCTTTGGATATATGGTAGTACCCCCTCTGAAACTAAAAAGTGTGAAGCGGTTTGATGCCATGGCCCAATTTACGCCCGTCACACCCCTTTGAAGGCGCGCCCGATGCCAAACTAACTGCACTAAAAAATTCGCCAAAAATCCAATTTTGTTCGGATTTTCATAATAGTTACATATTTATGATCCCAAATAGTTGCTTTATCATATTCAGTTGCAAAATTAACTTTTCAGAAATTTTCAATATTTTCGAATATTTCCTGAAAAGGGCATGGCTTGAAAAAATTCAAAATTCCAAAAAAGTTCAGATTGATATCAGATATGATAAAGCAACTATTTGGGATCATAAATATGTAACTATTATGAAAATCCGAACAAAATTGGATTTTTGGCGAATTTTTTAGTGCAGTTAGTTTGGCATCGGGCGCGCCTTCAAAGGGGTGTGACGGGCGTAAATTGGGCCATGGCATCAAACCGCTTCACACTTTTTAGTTTCAGAGGGGGTACTACCATATATCCAAAGGACATCAAGATCTGTCATTATCAGGTTGGCGTACTCTCCTCCTTAGTCAACCAGCTACATATTCAACTATATGTAAGTACCTGGTGTTGTTACGGGCCTAGGATGTGGAGGAGGACTTGTATTGTTTGTCTCTGAGGATCATTTATTGTATTCGATCAACAACTCCATTTAAACACTGTGAGAGTCTTCCTCCTCTTATTATTATTTCTCATTTTCTCACTTCCTTCAAATCAGGACAATGGGTTCAATTCCCAGACTAAGAAAAGTAAGAGACATCCGTCCATTTTATTCCTCTGTACCATTTCAAATCCGCATGTTGAATTGTTTGCCACATTCAGTGAGCACTTTGCACCAGTTTCTAGCAGTATATCAATGTACGTACACATAACATATTTCTAATGGTGGGTTAGGTGTGGATAATTTTATAGTGAAAAAGAAGAAACCTGAAAGTCAAACACTACACACAAAGTATGTTATCTAAATATGTACTTTTGTGCATCCTTTACTAGTAAATTGACGAGATTCTTATCTCTAGTTTGACTTGCATTATGTGCTTCACTTGACTTGAATCAGATACGGACTCTGATTAAATGCATTTTTCGTTATATGCATCAAACTTATAGATAGTTACTGGGTTGCACATGTATGGAAGCTGTATGCCGAGCGTGCATATGTACATGTGTGTGTATAAGAAGGTATATATGCTTCTTTTTAGCGAGTTTATTTTTGTCAAGACTCGAATCCCGTCTGTAATGATTTTTGCCATTATTTTGCATTGCATTCGACCCAGTTTTTGGGTATGTCTTGATATATGCCTTATGTAACTCTTCTTATATTCGTCGTCTATCTGTTGCCAGTTAGTGGAAATTTTGAGAGATGGTGCAGACACATTTCAAGGTTGTTTTTCAAAACTAATGTGCTGTTTTATAACCAATAAAAATAGGATTTTGAATATAGTCAACAATTTTAATTAAAAGAGAAATGAGAAATCCATCAAAATAGTTTATTTACCAATCTCGTTAATCAACGCTGTGAAACCTTAAACTTGAATAGAAGAGGTCAATGAATGACAACTTTTCCTTCCTTCTTTAATTCCATTGTGTCTTCGATTTAATTTAGGGCAAGTGAAATGTAAACAAATAGCGTGCGTATTTTTATATATGTACCAATTTAAATGTCGAATTTTTCACTCGTTAGTGTCTCCCATATTGACAACATTGAAAATCTTACCAATCCCAAAATGGTCAAATTCGTATATATGTACATAGTTATTCACTTGACTGACTTTTAGGTGTACGATTGTTCGTTTGCACAATTGTAGGTATACATCTACGCGTAATTGTTGGATTGGGTTGGGACATTTGGAAATTATTCGCATCACCTCGTTATCATCGTCTCATTTCTTTTATTCACGAAAGAATCCGTTCACTGTTATTAAGGAGGAGTAGGAGAGAGACATTTTGTTGATTGCGTCGTAGCAGAAGAAGAATATAGTTGACTTGATCTGTGACTCTTGATTTCATTGTGATCCCAATGTGACAGACAAATGAAGGGTTTGAAATGGGAATTGGAGAGCAGAAAATTTGTAAATTGTGCAGTCCCAGCATTCCAACTTTTCCTCATCATTTTCTCATGCAGTTGTAAACTTTATAAATGGAAAAATAAATGGGTGGAATTTTGAGAGAAAGCAGAACCTCTGTTAAACAAAAAGGCCGTCCACGAAGCACGATTGCATTCTCGAGCGTACGTACGTATTTATATCCAGCCCAGTCTTATATAGGCTGTATGCATTTGAGAAATCGTGGATGTACGATCAGAGAACATACAACAGATAGTCCAAGCCAACCAAACCATTTGTTCCCCCTTTTGGCTTTTAGAGTAAGACAATATTTTTCAGACATTAGTTACCCTGTCCGTCTTTTACGTGACGGGAAACAAAAGTTGGGCCGTTTCTGGTTTTGACATTGTTCACTACTCTTCTCTACCTCCACTGCAGTTTTATTCCGATTTCTCTCCTTTCACCCGCACCACAAGCACCAAAGTTGTTCGGTTGGAGCACATTTGGGAGAAAAATGAAATCAAGGTTGTAGGTGATTCCAATATATTTGAACATATAGAAAGCAATGGACATTCAAAATTTGTCTTGTTCCCTTTCTTCCGCTAGAACAGTTTCCCATTTTCGGTTGTTAACTTGGCTTCCTTTTCTTCCTTGGGTACACGCAGCAGAGTCCTGTGCAGCCAAAACTTGTGCCCAATCGTTCTGCTGAAGTAAAGTACATAAAATATAAGCCATTCGTTGGTTGCAGGTCTAAACATCAATTATGATGATTCATGAGACGTCTCAGGTTTTTTATTCGTGAAGGTAAAATTGTCCTCAAGTGCAGTCCCATTGAACTTCAATTGCGAGGTATTGATTGAGGCATTAGGAGTTCATGATATTAATCCGCTGGGAGTTTTATGCTCTTATCCGTTTCATCATTCATCATCCGCTTGGGCGACGTGAATTGACTTATCCAAGGATAAGTGCTTTTAAAAATATTAAGGAAAAGCTTATTTTGAATCAGCGATCTTGTGTTTCACGAGCACGTTCGTTGCATGGTATGCACTTTGAATGTTTCCCAGAATGCATAATAAAAACAAGCAAAAGTATTTTCTAACTTGCGTTGAAATAGATCGCTCTTTCCTCAAATTTCAGCCCTCGGGATGGATTCTTGAATAAAAAGAATTCCTACGTAGTGCGTACTAGCGACATTGAAATTCGGCCTAATCTTTATGGTCAGGTTTCGACTCAATTTATAAACAGTTTATGTGGGAAATGAGAAAGGCTCTTTGTCTCGAATCTAAA